ATCTCTGTCGCCATTTCTGTTAATATTTTTGCTGTCATTCATATCATCCACTTCCCCATCCGTTAGCTTTTGAGGATATGCGTTAGAATAGCTGTTCTTAAATGAAGGCTTTTCACCTTTGAGAGCATAAACTCTATAACTTTCTGCATACTTTATGTTTGAACCTCCTGAGCCATCATTGACATAAATTTTTATAGGCTTCCACCCTTTGTTCATGTTCCTGCTTCTTCCCTTTGCTCTTTTGTTCAGTAGTTCTACATCTTTATACACAACTCCTGTCTCAGTGAATTCAACAATATTTTCATTCGTTAGCTTTACATTCAAACCCTTGTCGAGTATATTGTTCATTTCATACATATAAAAGGTTTTTATTCTATATGAAATGAGAAGCAAATCCATCTTAGCTGGTGCTGTTAATGTTCCAATTGAACCAACATCAAATGTTGACTCACGAACGACAAACAATATTGTCATAAAGAACTATAGTTCAGAGTGTTTGAAAGAAAAAGAACCAGAACTTAAGTCGGTGAATTTAAACACAGCTTCAAGTGCAAACGCTACATCAGATGTTAAGTTAGAGTATCCACCACTGGACCAAATTCTTTCAAGAGAAGCCAACGACAACCCTTACATAAATGTTCAAACAAATCCTTCAGATAACGTAGACCATTACCTTCTTCAGTTATACCAAACAATTTTACTCAAAGACGATAAGAAGCTTTTGACAAATCTTATAAGTAAGAACCAAATAATTCTAACAAAGGAGGACCTTGAAAATGTTATCTCACGAATAACAGGGAAACAATGTGTCATTGACTATCTCGACCCTGAAATCGAATGCTGTGGTCAAACTCCACTATTCATGAAAATAGGTAACATCCGCATCATTGAAACACCAGAAACTACAGGAGTTGAGTTTAAGTATAAATATTCGAACGAGTATACAAAACTATCTACTGACTATAAGCTTTGTTTGAAATATGTTTTAGTAAATTAAAGCAGTCAGGAGGGCTCTTTGAGCCCATCTTGGCGCTTTGCACCGTCAGTCAAAAAATTTCAAGTTAGCAATTTGTAATATCTATCCAAAACTTCTTCAACAGTATCGAACTCATCTTCATAATGCAAACCTAATCTTATTGACTTGGTGCAGTTTTCACTAACACAATATTTTTCTGTTCTCTTGACTGACATAACTAATTCATTTGTTTCATCAAACAGCAACAACCAAAGTTCATGACCTAATACATAACATTCATACTTTATATTTTTAGCTCTGAGTTCTCTTGTAAGCTGTTGCATTTAATATTTTCTAAAAAGTCAACTTCAACAGTCATTCGCACTGGTGCCTTCAGTTCTACAGGCTCACCCTGAAAGTCAACTAGTCTGAATTGCATGTCTTTCAAATTATGAGGACTAATGCGAACCCATTTACCTAAATGAGTTGCTATGACAGGAACGTTTGGAATGAACATTGAATTTACTTCATAACAGAAGGATTTATATTCTACTGAACCTTTACTATTAACTCCTGAAATACCTGTGACATTAGCTATTTTTGACTCAATGTACAAACAATTGCCATAACATACGTATGGAACAGATTTCATCTCAATCGTTTTGTCAACACTTTTCAAAGGAAATGTCATATGGTATGCTCCCAAAAGAAGTTGTACTCTATGACTCATTCTTGGTATCTTAAACTCTTTCGCATAACTGAACTTCAAAACTCCTGCAATAAGTTTAACATTCATTAAGTTTTCTTCGTTATCCTTGTTTATTGTAGTATTTATGAGAGCATTTAACACTCCAGCTAATGTTTCCATCTTATATTCTACATTATTGTGAAATCTTATTTCGTGCTTCTTTCCATCTATTTCAAACTCCATGAAATCTGTTTCGTCAGTTATAACGAATGAAGCAATAGTATTGAAGTCAACCATTCTGAATGCAAGCGCCTCATTCTGTAGACCTAAGTTTGTTTGTAGCTTTACTGTCCCGTATTCGTTTGGGTCTGTACTTTGCAAATAGAACAACATTTTATTCTCATTAAAATATGACTATTGCTGCATATGCGTATGAAACAAATGAAGCAAGAAGAGCACATGAACTAGTAAACGAAAACTCAACTTTAACCATTGAAGGCAATGATTTAGTCATTGACGATGGAAAAACTAAAAAAGTCATTGATTTCGATACTTTTAACACTTATGACCCATTCATTACAACAAGCAAGGTTCCCATCATAAATGATGGAACGGTGCAATATATAAATTCTACAGTAGATGCCTCATTAGTGAAAGTACTGAATGTTCTCATTGAATTGTTAAAGAGCTTTCGATTTGACGACAACATTAAATGCCTAAAGAATTTAGTCATGAATGAGAAACAAATTCTCGGCGTTGCTGGTAGCAGTAACGATGTACACCTTATGACATTAGAATATTATAACGAACATAAAGATGAACTGAAAGGAGAGAAGGGTGACACCGGACCACAAGGACCACAAGGAATACAAGGACCTCAAGGCGAAAACGGTTTGGATGGAAAGGATGGAAAGGATGGAAAAACTGCTAAATCATGGATATGGGACCTTATAAATACTGGTTTAACAGCTGCTTCATATGGAGTTCTTCAATACCAAATCGGAAAGATATGGGCAGTACTTGGTGAAGAAGCTTTAGATGACGTTAAAAATGCTTTGAACTTCATTTCAAATGGTTCGGATACTATTAAAACTTTATCTGGTTGGATGCAAGAAATAAGGAGTCAAATAGATACTGTAAGACGTATAGCAAACAATGCACGTACTGGATTGGATACTTTACGAGAAGCACAAAATACACTAAAGGAAGCAAATGATATTCTTGGCTCAGTATCAGACATGCATGAAGATTGGCTTAAAGGTATTGACAAATCTTTAAAAAATCACAGTCAGTCTATTGCTGACTACAAGAAAAGTATAGATTTTTTACATAGTGCTATGGACGTACATGATGGAAGCATAAGGAACTTACTTAATGCTAACAATAACTTACCAGGAACTATTAAAGCATTTATAAAGTCCTTTGTAAAACCTGGTGCTCTAACATTTAGGTCTTTGAGAGCAAGAGCATTGAAGTCAAGAGATGCAGAAACTCCAGAAGAACCACCAAAACCAACAGCTAATGAAATATTGTTCGAATATTTTCCAAGGTACTCTGTTCTCATTGCATACATTCAAGAAATACTTAAGAAAGCAGACTTGACTTTAGGAGATGATGAAAGTTCTGTATATCTTTCGTTCCAGTTTCAAATAGCAGAACTTTTGAGACAGATATGCTTAATGTATGACAACATCTCTGATTTCACAAGATATGATGACGACCATGATCCCGAACACGGTGAAGAAGAAGTTTTACAAACATCCATTAAGACAGGAAAGGTTTTAACTCAAAGTCTCATTATTGACACTAAAGATGGCGAAGTGGACGTTCTTCAAGAGCTGAAGAAAAATACTTCTTCGGGAGGTGGTGGTAGGCATGAACTTGAAATAAATGAGATAGAAGAGAAATTAGCCGAAAAAGCAGATAAAAACCACGTTCATTATATAACTTCAGACGAACAGATTATAACAGACTACCATGGATATTTAACACGAAGTGATGAAGCGAAGACAAAAAATGTTAATGAAAGAAGATATAAATACATTCGTGCTAAAGGTTATGACATAAGCTGTACTGTACAGTATGATGTAGCTAAAGCACCAGAAGCATTTGGTTATAACGATGAAATTTATGCCTCTACTTTCAATGTTAACGGTGTATTAGTTGAACCAAGATTTACATTGAGAGTTAAGGCAAAAATAACGTTTGAAGATGCTATTAAAAGTAAAGCTGACAAAGATGAACTCGAAGCAATGAACAAAGTTTTGAAATCTCATAAACACAACATCTCCGATATAAATGAACTTCAAGCTACATTAGACAGTAAAGCCGACAAGAACCATACACATAAATCCTTCACTACTGTTAGAGCAGACGACATAATATTGAACTTTGACCTTGGTTCAAGTGCACCATTAGAAAATCCAAGTACAAGCGTAAAAGATACTCTTAACAATTTAGATAAGAGTTGCAGGAATATCGAAGATCATGCCAGAAACTTTGAAGCATATGAACTACCAACAATGTTAGATAAGAAAGCAGACAAAACAGAGCTTCAAACATTAAAGACAGAAATACTTCAAACATTATATCCTATAGGCTCTATTTATACGTCAATGAATTCAACAAATCCAGAAACAGTTTTAGGTTTTGGTATGTGGAAGCAGATTGTAGATAAATTCTTATACTGTGCGAACTCTTCAAAGCAAACAGGAGGTTCGAAGAAAATTAAAGAAGCAAACCTTCCACCGCACACTCATACAGGAACTACAAACACAACAGGTAGTCATTCACATTCAATAACAAAAAGAGGTTATACAAATCTTGCAGCAGGTTTGGATAGACAGGGAATGCATAGATATGATATTTCAAGTGACCCAGTAGATTCAAGCACAGGTATTTTCTGTGGAACCACAGGAAATCATTCACACACTTTCACAACAAATCCAACAGGCTCGGGTGAAGATTATATGCCACCATTTGTGACTATATTCGCATGGTACCGCGTTCAATGAACGCGCTTGAGCCTGCTTTGCGGACTTACCGTCTTGAATAAAATCTTTAACTTTACATAAATGAGCTTGAAAGAAGTATTCGAACAACATCCATGGAGGTCATTTAAGAAGTTCAATGAAGCTGCAAAGAGTTGGGGATTTACTAACAGAGCTGAAGTGAAAAGGTTCTTTGACAAAAATGTTGTACATCAAACAAAAATAAACCCTTACGACTACTTTTTACCAATTTACTCCAACACTCCCTGACGCATACAATTTGACACTCTCATTCAAAGCAGAAAGGAGGACATAAACATTCCTCATCTTCATTAATGTTAACACTCGTAAAGCATATGCATATCCAATGAGGAACAAAGGAACTCGTGAAGTGTTAAGAGTTTTACAAAAGTTTGTAGCAGAACATAGCCCAAGTACTTTAACATCAGACCAAGACAGTGCATACCTCAGCAACGAAATCACAGAATTTCTCATTAAGCATAACATAACTCACTACACTACTGAAGACCATAACCATAACATACTCGGCATCATAAACCGCTTCATAAGGACTCTCAGAGATTTAAATCAAGAGCGAGACTTTACCGAAGAAACAATGAAACATTTTCTCGAAGTATATAATTCCTCAACACATTCTACAACAGGACATACAACAAATTCAATGACACAACAACAAGAAGAAAAGTATATACAAAAGAAACGAAGTCAAACACAAAATATCAGAAATTCAACACAATTTACCCTCATTCCTGGTACAAAAGTTCGTGTAGTTCTTGACGACAAACCGTTGACAAAGAAACGTTTAAGGTTAAGTCGAAATTATTATATCGTAGACTCTACGCAAGGTAATGGATATCTTATAAAAGCTGCTGACGACTCTATTGCGTTTTATCCTCGTCATAAATTAGTTGAAAGTAGTAATGGCAAACTTGCTGAAACCATTGACGAAGCAAAGCGAGGAGTGGTTATTGAAATACTTGACTATAACATAAACGATGACACTTATAAAGTAAGATATGAAGGAGGTGTTGAAGATGTTATACCATCTAAGAACTTGAGAGAGTCAAAGCCAACACATCTGGGACCATTAGAGCGGGAGTACTGGAAAGACAAAAATATGCCAGAAAGAATAAGAAAATTCTTCTAAACTTTTTCATTAGATGTAAATCAGACATGAACGAGAACAGTCATGATATCATTAATGGTACCATTTATTTTAACATAAAGACGCAAAGCGGCGAGGACGAAGTCCATGACCAAAATAATGTTTAGGGTAGATGGTTAGATCTACCCTCATTTCTACCCTCATTTCTACCCTCATTTTTTGTATTTGACGGGAATTAATTCTTGATTTCAGGGATTTTTTGACGAAGTGCAAATCTTCACTTCGTCAAAAATAACAGTTATCTACCCTCATTTCTACCTCATTTTTTGTATTTGACGGGAATTAATTCTTGATTTCAGGGATTTTTTGACGAAGTGCAAATCTTCACTTCGTCAAAAATAACAGTTATCTACCCTCATTTCTACCCTCATTTTTTGTATTTGACGGGAATTAATTCTTGATTTCAGGGATTTTTTGACGAAGTGCAAATCTTCACTTCGTCAAAAATAACAGTTATCTACCCTCATTTCTACTCAGCCGCTAAGCGGCGAGACCCAAAGGGTCTTGAATTTTCATGAATTTCCTTAAGATGAAAAAATAAAGTTAGTTTTATTTTTATTTATTTTTTTATTTTGTATAAAAGATATGATTTCAACATCGGCACAACAACAATTCAAACAACAGCACCACCAAATTCGTTAGTCATGAATCCAACATCTATGTTAGTAGAGATGAAAAGCTTTATTCCTTCTTCATATACTTTTGAAACAAAAATCCAGAAGATAAAGCAAGAACTTTTAACAAGTAATTTAGACTGTACCGCACAGGATGAAGAAAATGAAGAATATCTTTATGACATGCAGGACATTATTGACCATTTACCCAAATTGCCTGAAATCCAACAACAAAAGCTCACTATTCATGAATTCGATGAAATAGAAGTGAAACCAACTGACTCAGTAGAAATAAAGAAGTTCATACGTAAAGTAAATTATGAGTTTCTAGGATATCATTGCAACCATAAAGTTATGGACAAAGATTGCGACATGGTATATAAGAACATCTCTGACATATATAAATCCGAAGAATTTAAGACATACGACAACTTTGTTTCATTAGTTGCAGAATGTGTATGGCAGATAAGAGATAAAGATAGAAGAGGTAAGGTATGGAATGAACAGATAAAACCAACTGCTTTTGAGTTAAAGAAAACCATTGACGCCTTAGTTGTTCTAGCAGGTCAAATTTCAATGTATAACGCAAAAATGAATCCACAATGTTCTAAATGTAAAGCAGCAATGAGGAAATATAACTACTCCGTCAAAGAGATAGAACGTATGAGAAACGACTATGCTGACTTAAAGAAAGAAGTAGAGAAACCAGCAGAAGATAAAATGGACATGTTAGCATTTCTGAACAAAAACTATCCAACTGCTGACGATTTCCTATTATCTGACGTCAAGAAGAAGTATAAAGAAACCTTCGGCATTGTTAAAACATTCGATGTACTAAAAGAAGAAATAGAAGCTACAAAACTGTTTAGAATCTCACGAATTCATAACGTATATCATGTAAAATGTTTATAAAATAACTGGGGTAGAAATGAGGGTAGAAATGAGGTTAGATCTAACCATCTACCCTAAAATATATTTTTGCTGAATTCAACACAAAAATAATGAATTTCCTTAAGATAGAAAAAAATAAAGTTAGTTTTATTTTTTCTAACTTTTTATCTTGTATGTAAGAACAGAAATGTCAGTCGAAGCAAAAACATTCACTAACAAATCTAATGGCGAAACATTCACAAAAGGCACTTATAACGGTATTGAAGTCTTACGTAGAGACAATGATGGTTATATAAATGCAACAAAGATGGCAAGAGAAGCAGGAAAGTTAAACCATTTAAACAGATTTCTCAATAGTGCTAAAATGCAGGAAATTCTTGAGTTTTGGTTGAAAGAATACGGTGGAGCCAAAAGTGGCTCAACCTCAAAACAAGCATTTTATGAGCTTGCTAAGGGCGTTATAAATGAATTCAAAGGTATTTACATACATCCTGACCTCGTTCATTTTGTTGCTGAATGGTGCTCTGTAAACTATGCATTTTATGTCAAAGATATTATGGACTCCATAGACAAGAAAGTTCATGAGAAGTTAGATGAAGAAGAACTCGAAGATACAGTAGAGAATGCTAAACCTTTGTTCGAACAAGAAGTTGGAAAAATGTGCGAAAAACAATTAGAACATGAACGTGAGATATGTTATGGTTATAGAGATTCTCATACGAACTAGACCAATGGGAACAAGAAGATTTAAAGAGAGAATTTAGAGAATATGAACTCGCTAAGATAGCATTAGAAGCTGCAGAAAAGAAGTTAAAAATTTGGGGTCGTTTTGTACAAAAATATTGTGAGTAAATGAACTCATTATTTTTGCTGAATTCAGCACAAAATTCTGAGTAAAATGACATATGGCACGTGTCAAACCGTTGAGTTTTCACAAATTTTAAAAATTGCTGCGGAAAGTTCGTCAAAAAAGTGAAGGTTCCCGACGGTTTCAAACCGCCATACTTTACATGAAGATAGTTTACAATGTCAACTAAATATCATATACGATAGAAACGGTTATGTAAAGTTTACATTTTGTAAAGTTTTGTCCTGATTCAAGACAAGTCTTGTATTTTTTCAGAACAAGTCTTGTATTTTTTCAAGACAAATCTTGTCCTGATTCAGAACAAGACTTGCACTTTTTAGTCAGTTTTTCTTGTAAAGTTCTCAAATTTGAGAACAATTGTCCTGATTCAAGACAAGTCTTGTATTTTTTCAGAACAAGTCTTGTATTTTTTCAAGACAAATCTTGTCCTGATTCAAGACAAGTCTTGCACTTTTTCAGGAAATCCTATCGTCCAACTTTACAAATGTCACTTTTTCAACATGATTGCATTTTGGTCGGGGAACAACTTTCTCTCATTTTGTCACTTTTTCTATCGTCGTGTTTTGTCACTTTTCCCTCAGGGTGTGTGTCAGAAAATATCCAAAATCTTTATAGCCTCGTATCTCCTTCAATTCTTGACGGTTTGACATGTATGACACACCATTCAATTCAAAATTATGTGCTGAATCTTATGACCTTCATTTGTTCGTGACTTCTTTTCACATATGTAACCATGAATTTTTAACATTTCTTTAACACAGAAAAATAAAGTTAGTTTTTTATAAAATATTTTTTTTATCCGGAATATAAAGACAGATATGTCAACAACAGAGAACACAACAACTGCTATCGTTCATGAAGCCATTAATGAAGAATATGAATACATACAGTATAACAAACAATTGAGACTCATTCGTTCGGTCAAAGACGATATGTACCAAATGCAAAGTATAATGAACGCTCTTCTTTCTACAAAGCAAGCATATCATTGGTTTGAAAACCAACAGACAAAAGAACTTTTAGAAGAATTTCCTCATATGATTGCTTCCCTCGGAAAACCGAGGGAAAGATTCCGTACGAAAATCGCAAGAATTTGGCTCCTGGTTTGAAAGGTTATTATGTTCATAGACTTTTAGTAAATGCTGTAGCAATGTGGGCTTCACCTCGTTATGCTTGTTATATTTTCATGATGTTAGATGAACTATATAAAGCAGAACGTGAAGATATGGAAATGAAACTTCAAGCAAAAGATGAAGTCATTGAATCCAAAGACAAAAGCATACAGAAAAGAATACCACGTTCAGTACCAAAAGGAAAGGAAAAGAGTTATAAGTATATGATATATACTGAAGAGTTGGAGAAAGAAGAAGATAAAGATATGGTTATGTTACATTTAGTCAGAAGAAACAACAAAAGCTTTTACGACCTTGCTAAGATTTACAAATCTGACAGAAATTGGTTCTATCGTGAAAACTTACCGATTTCAATGACACCGAATGAGCAAATAAAAGAAATTGTCAAAAATACTCTTCCTCAAACACACTATGACATCAAAGGTTGCACAATACTTACATTCAAAGAAGACTTACCATTACTGAAGGAAAAAATAACAGAATATTTCGATAACTTCAAAGAGGAAGAATAAAAAAATCTAAGCTAATTTTATTTTTTTATAAAATTTTATCTCATATGAAAGAACATGAATTTAGAATATTCGGAACTCATGACAGAAGAAGAGAACGAACAACATGTAAAAGATTATGCAAAATTTCTGAAGGTATATAAAGCATTTAAACAATATCTAAATGCTTCTAAAGATTATGCAAAATTTCTGAAGGTATATAAAGCTTATGAAAAAGCGTATGAAAAGTTTATACATTGGGGAATTGTTGTAAAATATCGATATGAAGACTAACCAAAAACATTAACTTTTTGACGAAGTGAAGATTTGCACTTTGTCAAAATTTAATGAAAAACATTAACTTTTTGACGAAGTGAAGATTTGCACTTTGTCAAAATTTAATGAAAAACATTAACTTTTTGACGAAGTGAAGATTTGCACTTTGTCAAAATTTAATGAAAAACATTAACGTAAACATTAACGATAAAATTTATTTCCTGGACTGTTGTCAAAATGTCATGTTGTCATCATTTTTAAAAGAAGTTAAATAACCTGGTGACACATGGTGACGTGGTGACACCTTCAGTTCTTCAAAAATATATTTTTGCTTAAATAGCTTCAGGGTCTATTTCTTCAACCATTTCACTTTCTTCGTCAATGTCAATAGAAGCTTCTTCAACCTTTGGTAAGAACTTTTGTATGACATCTTTGTTCGTTATTGTCTTCAGAGATGAAGGATAATATTTCACATTTGTTTCACCCTTCTTATATTCTTTCTGTTCGGAAAGATTTAAAGCAATACTGAAGAAGTCAATGTTAGAGTTCTTTATGACAGTATAATGAGTATCTTTGACATTCACGAAGAAACTCTTTTGTTTCAAAACTACTGCTAACTCTTGTGAAGTATAACGTTTGCGGTCAATGACGATAGCTAATGGTCTGACATACTGACCAAACTTAGATTCTTTCACAAACTTCTTGTTAAAGATAACATTAACATTTGAAGCACCATTGAACTCATTCTTGATGGCAGTAGCGAGAGCATTGTATGAAAAGAACTTGCAATCTTGCATGTGTTTCATTAAAATAAAAATATTAAATTATTTTGAAAAATAACTTAAAAAAATCTAATCTAATTTTTTCAAAAAATATTTTTTTATTTCCTACTAAAGATGTATCGGAAGTTGTCTAAGTTAGAACACTCGGAAATAAAACAACTTCTTACAGAAGCTAATATAGATGTTGCAAAGCATTACGCACAAACAAAAAAGCACTCGCTGACATCCTCAATGACTACAATGGTGAATAATTATGATAGAATTCATGAGTTCATAAAGCCGCAACGCGGCGAGGACGAAGTCCATGCAAGAATTTCCTTTAAATGACGTTGCTATTGACTTATATCATAGACGTTCAATACCTCATGAAGTAAGAAGAGAAATGTTTGACATAACAAATGCAAACGTTGGTGAAACAAGAAGAAGAGACGACACACTGAAACAACAGAGAAGAGAGATGTTTAAAAGTGCTATAGAACAAGTTCGCAAAGCTAACGATGTCATTCGTTCCATTGACGACAAACCAAAAGAAGGTGAGAGATGGTTAAAGAAAGATGAAGAGAATAGGAAGAGAAATGTGAAGTCAGGCAATAGACTCATTGACTTTAACATCGAAGCTTTAGATGAACCAAACAGAGACTACTTACACAAACATTTTGGTAAGGTTTTCATGAGACTCTTAGAGAAAATTAAAATAAACTCACAACAGAGATGGATGGTATGTTATAAACTTGGTGGAAAGTATGAATGTTCTACGTTAAACCTCAATAATATTGGAACATTACTACATCAGCTCTTGAAGGAGAACTTTATATCAGAGATAGAAGCAAATGCTGCAGGTATTGTTGAAATGCACTATGACTTCTTCTTGACAAACATAAAGAATCTTACCGAAATAAAGATGTATGATTTAACAGAATATGAAGGCTTAACGATGTCAGATGTAAAGAAAGGCAAACCAAAAAAGAGACCATATAGAGATGAAAGCACACTGACAAATGACCAGAAAGCCATTTTGGAAGCTCTTAAGCAAACAGGAAACCCAGCACTTATAGAAAGCTTTTGGAAAGATAATGGTGAAAAGAAGTTTTATAAGAAGAGAAGCGGTCAGTTCTGGAAGTATCTTTGCACATTACCTATAAATCTTGAGCGCTACCAAATCTTCAATGAACTGAACAAAAGAACTGCAGCACTTATGACAGAAGACAATTGTTTCGTTTATGCTTGCATTCAGGCTGGAGTAGATGGAGAGACTATTGATCACATGAGAGAAGTCATTCGTGTTAGAGACTTTCCTCAAAGTAAAGTACAAGAAATTTCTGACGCAACAGGTATAGCATTTAATGTTACCATTGGTTACTTCAATGACTCAAGACATAATGAAATAAAGAGATACATACCAAAAGAATGTAAAACTATTCGAACTATTGACTTACTTCTTGTTGAAGACCACTACATGCTAAATGAAAGATTACCAATGACAACATATTTCGTCAGAAATTACAAAGAAATTCTCAAAGCTTGTGGTGGAATGAACATTGAGAAACAGATGAAGATTTATACAAAGAGAGAGAACAAATATGTAGTTCGTTATGATAGAACAACACCGTTATGGGATGTTATGAAAACATTGTGGGAGTGCAAATATTTTGAACCTATTTCTTATGGAGAACTTTTCACATATACGACTGACTTATATAAACAGAACTTGCACCATTTAAAGATTTGACATATGCTCCAAAGTATTGTGTACAACTGAAGAAGAAAGCCGAGTCAAAAGAAGTAAATAAAAATAAATGCAAGTTCATTCCTGAGCACGTTTTCTTTGCTGACTTTGAGTGTAGTACCGATGGCTTTCATAAAGCTTTTAACATCTGTTATGACAGTGAAGATGGTTCAGTGAGTGAAAGCATTTGGGGTCAGAACTGTGCAACAGAATTTTGGAACGACTTCCTGACAAGAGTTTAATATATTTCCATAACCTCAGTTATGATATAAACTTCATCTTAAGACACATGACAGAAGTGAAAGGAACTCCCATCATTAAAGGTTCACGAACAATGCAAATAACTGGCTTATATAAAGGAAGGGCAATTATTATAAAAGACTTTACAGTGTTATAAATAAGAAGCTTAAACTATTTCCTGCTATGTTTAACTTACAAACAGGACCGAAAGAAGTATTTCCATACAACTACTACAGCAGTGTTTTGTTAGCAAATGACAACAGAACTGGTGTCATTTCTGAAGCATGTAAGTTTATCCGGGATGCAGATACATTCATGAAAAACATAGATTCATCAAAGGTTGCAGAATAGATGAAAACCACTTCGACTTAGAAAAATATAGCACATTCTATTGCAAACAAGATGTAAGAATTTTAAGAGAAGGTTTTGTTAAGTTCCGCAATGACATATTGAAAGAGTTTGATTTAAACGTATATGACTACGTTAGTATTTGTTCTATTGCTAACAAATTGTTTGAGAACAGAGTGTACTTCCCGAATGGAAATTTATATGACCTCTCAAATAAACCAAGAGAATTTATTTCACGCTGTATTCAAGGTGGAAGATGTATGCTGTCAGATAACATGAAACAAAAGAGCGAAAAGAAACTCATTGCTGACTTCGACGCTGTTTCATTATATCCATCAGCTATAGCAAGACTTTATACTTTAGAAGGTATACCGAAAGTATTGAAGAAAGAAATGCTAAGCACAGAGTATCTCATGAGACATTTATTCGATGACGACCAAAAGGAACCCATTGGTGAAAAGTTTATGTCCGGCTTCTTTGTTCTCATTAAGATAACAGAGATTGGAATACATAGACACTTTCCTTTAATAGTTTGTGACCCTGAACTAAATCCAGAACTTAACGTTCCCAGAAGTTCAAACACTTGCTGTTTAATGTATGTTGACCATATAACATTACAAGACCTCATAAAATATCAAGGTGTCAAATGTGAAGTGTTGCAAGGATACTATTACGATGGAAACAGAGATATTAGAATAAGAGATGAAGTAAAGAAGTTGTTTGAGTTAAGGTTAAAGTATAAGAAAGAAGGAAATCCTTTGCAAGAAAATATAAAGCTCATTCTGAACAGTATTTATGGCAAAACTATTCTATCTCCTATTGAGTCAAAAATAACCATAGTAAATGACAAAGATGCTATAAGATATGCCATCAGAAACTACAACCATATAGTGAAGTTCGAAGGTTTGGACGGTTCAGATAAAACTATTTTCAAGCTAACGAAAAGCATTTGCAGACACTTTAACTTCTGTCCACTTGGTGTTAACATTCTATCTATGTCGAAGAGAATAATGTGTGAAGTATTCTGTACTGCTGAAGATATGGGACTTCAAATATTTTACCAGGACTGTGATAGCATGCATATTTTCAATGAAGACATACCAAAGCTTGCAGCAGAGTTTAAGAAGAGATACGGTAGAGAACTTATTGGTAAAACATTAGGTCAGTTCCATTCTGACTTCGCAGAAATAACACCTGGAAAACAAAGTTTAGCATACAAGTCAATATTTTGTGGAAAGAAGACTTACATAGACTTACTCACGAATGATTTAAATGAAGTTGCATTCCATGCACGTTGTAAAGGTGTAAAACAAGACGTTCTTGCTTTAACAGCTAATGAAATGTTTCCTGAAGCTATACAATGCTATTACAATGAAGATAAGAACATTCACATACCTGTTGGAACATATGACAAAGACTCTGAGTTCAGTTTAATGAAACTTTACAAAGCACTTTATGACGGTCAAGAGATTGGATTTGACTTATGTAAGTCATGTCAACCTTGCTTTGCTGAAAAGTTTAACTTCTCAATAACGACTAAAACAAGCTTTATTCGTAAGTTGAAGTTCTGAGGTCATTTATTTTTGTCAGCAATGAGGTCATTCGTGATAAAAATAAAACTAGCGTAGATTTTACAATACAGCAATTGTAGAGTTTAAGAGTTGTGCTTCAATGTAGAGACAGTCCTTATGGTCTGGAGGTAAGAACACTGGGCAGTTATGGTCATGAGTGGAGAACATGTCTATCCAAAACTCACGATTGAAGCCAGTTAATTTATAGTATTTAGGGTTAGGAAGTGGTGAAGTTCTTGTATGACCAATGAACTCATTTTCAACTCCCTTACTTAAGTTTGAATATAATATAGCTTGCTTTCTATCCCAAATGCCAGGTGTTACAATCTTTGAAAATTCATTTTTCCTCGGAAGCATTGCATTATAATTGAAAACATTTTTGAAATCATCATTGGGTTCAGAGATTTGAAATCTTATACGTAATGGATTTTCTTTTTTTTTAGCTACTTCATTGAATGGTGAATATATAACAAACTGACAGTCATGAGTTCCATCTTCATTTTCATTAAATTCATAATGAAAGTCTATAAGTTGTGGCTGACTACCTTCTTCTTTCAGTTGTGCAAGAAACTCACGTATAGGCTGTAAAGTTTGTACTTCAATGTTAAACTTTTTCTCGAACATTTCATTAAATGAAATCATACATTGCAACAATGTTGTATCGTCTTTAAAGTATTTGTATATGTGAATGTTTTGGGCACTTAAAGACTGTTCGTCATTTTCTATCTCGACTTGAAGTATAAAGTCAACCTTTCTGAAAGCACGTGTTATATACATAGATGTTATGCCAATGTACTTCTCTTCATTTATGTTCACAATCCAGTCTGTTGGAAACTTAAACGTTACTCTGTTCCCCTTTATTTTGACGTCAGGGTTTTCACTACTGAATGCAACAGTTAAAGGTATTTGTCTATACATTTAATTCGGATAAAAATAAACCATTTACTCTTTCTTTGCTTCAGCTTCTTTAGCTTTTGCTTCAGCTTCTTCTCTAGCTTTTTTCGCCAGTAGTCTTGGGTTCTTTTGTCTTCCAGCAGCTAATGCAGCAAGTTGTTTTTCACTAAGTTTTCTCTTTGGTCTCTCTGGCTTTTGTTCTTGTTTTTGTTCCTTCAGTTCGGATAAAATTTGCTCGCGAATTTCTTTCTTCAATGCTTCAACATCTATGACCCCTTGGGTCTTGTCCGTAGGGCTTGTCTGAGTCATTTGACTGCAGATAAAAAACAAAATTAAAACTTTAACCGATGTAAAATGAGCTTGTCAAAATCAGAGCGAGAGTCTATTATATTAAATGACGCCAGAGGAATACAACATCCTTTCTATTACGTAAGTCAGAGTAAAGATGGTAAAATATACGTAAGAAAAAGAAAGGTTCTATTAGCGAATGCAGAAAGCGACAACATTAAGGTGTATGGCAAGGGTGAAGTCCACGAAGCCCATATAAAACCTTCTATTCAAACTGAAAAGTCAATAGAACAAGAAGAAAAGAAGCCAGATGTACTTTCAATAACGAACCAAGAGCTTATTGCAAAGTTCGTGAATTTCATTGAAAAACAAAACGAGTCAAAGAACCCTGACCCACCAGTGAAAGAAGTTGAGACAAAAGAGAATGTACAGTTCATTGAAAATGTCAAGAAACAACTTCCACCACGAATGCCAAGAAGAAGAGTGAGAATAATGAAGTAAATAGATATTTTTATCCGAAGTAAATACATGCAGAACGAACAGTTAAACGAATTTACTCCAGCAGAGCATATTCATCAGATTCGCTCATATTTCGATATCATAGACAATGCAGTTCAAATTGGTGACACTAATAGAAAATATTTGACGCAAAGATTCCATCACAACCTGGAACTGCTAAAGATAACACATGGGTAACATTCAATCTCTCACCTCCTGGTGAAAATATGTTGGACCTTTACAATACATTCATTACGTATAAAATGGAAGGTCAATTTATTGTAGATAAAGAAATTGGTTCAGGTTCCGATAAAACAAACCCACCAGGATTTTGGATTGGTTTCGATGACGCTTTCTATGCAGTTGCTGGATATCAAATCCTTGCAAATGGTCGTATCGTATATTCTCAAGACAACGCAAGAGAAGAAGCATATATAACTTCAAACTCACAAACTACCGAACAAATAAAGAAAGTAGATGTTTTCTCAAAGACTCGACATGAAGATGTATGGAGTCATTCGGGAACATGCAGAACAGGACAAATTGTTAGTGGTCCAATTACAGCAGGAAAATCATTTGATTTTAAGCTTCGTTTAAGAATTCCTGTTAGAAGATTCCTTCCATTAGAAGCTATTCGATTTATTCCAGCTTTTGCAGGAAACATTCAGCTTAAAGTAAAGTTCAGTAGCGACGCCTTACAATGCACATCTATATCTGTAAATGATATCATTGCTTTCAATCCAACTCTTAAAGTTGCATTTGCTTCAGATTCAAATCCACCGACAAATAAATTTGTTCCATGGAATGAACCATTCACTATGATAACGAAGGCAATAGAAGCTAGTGGAACAGTTACTATTACAACTGTAACCCAGCAACTATTTCGAACAAAGATGGATTTTAATGAATGTTTCATTCATCCAAAGTCATTCTCTTTAGACCCTAACATTTATACAGAACTTGTAGAACATTATACAAACGAGGCTTTATGTTTTCCTGTTAAAGTTATGGATTGGATTCCTATGGACGGTTCATTCTCAAAGAATACAGATAGTTCAAGTGCAACATTTTACAGCAGCTTATACGCCTATTAATGTTAAAAGTATTTGGGCACTATTTAGAAGAAAGACAACTATTATGTTAATTTTGAGAACCCTAAGTTTAAATATCTTCAGCTTTCCATGGGAGCTTATGGAAATATGCCTGCAGAACCTGAAAATCATATGGACTGTATTTTATGAAATGGTTGCGAAACGCCTGCAATACAAACAATGATATGATTGGATTTAATGAAGAGTTATGAGGTCATTGGTGGATGATGGTAGTGTGGAACATAAATGGGATAGCTATGACAACGCACATTTCTTATGTGGTTTTCCAACTGAAGTGGACTTTTGCTTCCAGCAAGGTCAAACTCTTGTCAATAACATACAATTGTCTGTTAAAGGACCTATTGAACTAGCAACTGAAAACGTACCAAGCCACTTATTGGATTTATGAGGGATTGTTGCTTTGCAATACAAGTAAGACAGTCAGGCATACCAATAATAAGACTTGACGACTATAACTTAGCAACTGACGACAGTGAGGAATAAAGGATGAACGTTTATTTTTAAAGCTTATAAATGAGTTCTTCATCAAGCTCTCGTGAACCTTCACATCTATGAAACAAACTTTACCAAACGATTATGGAGCACCTATTGAATATTTCTTACGAGCTGCACAATGGCAAGCAGTCTCACCAAGGTTAGGTGTTCCACCAGCTCCTGTCAAAAATAGCATTTGGTCAAGTCCTTATATAAATATGGTCTCCCACTAGGTTTGCTAGCTACAGCAGGAGCAGTAATGATGTTGAAAAGAAACAAAGCAAATGTTGTAAATAATACTGAAGTAGCTGAAGTTAAACAAACTTCAACACCTTCACAAGCAAAACCTTCAATGACTCCTGAACCTATGGAAGTACAAACTCCTGTTCAAAAGTCAACTCCTAAACCGACTCCAACATTTAAACCAGAAATACTCCTCAAATAAATCGTAAAACTCCTGCGTTTCCTTACTGAAAAATAACGTTATTTTTATTTAATATTAAAATTTTTATTTGATTGAAATGACAAATAAAGTCACTGAAGCAATGAAACAAAAGTTTTTGGTAGAATACATTAAATCAGGAACTATTCCAGAAGGTTTTTACATTCATACTATGAAGGATGGTAGAGTTCAGTTTAGAAAGATAAAGCAACCATTAGATAAAGAAGGAATTTTGAGAAAGATTAAACTTCATGAGGACAACATTGCTGAACTTAAGAAGAAGCTAGAAGAGTTGGAGAAAGCAGACGACAGAGAGTTATAAAGCAATGAATTCAACAGGTTAGAAATGAGGGTAGAAATGAGGTTAGATCTACCCTTCTACCCTAAATTTATTTTTGCGCTATGTTTTCATACGTGTGAGGGTGGTGATATCATTATTTTTTAAGTTTATTTTTATATAAATGACGAAAACTATTGAGATAACAAACTACAACGGTCATGAGTTCAAGAATTTGTTCTTCGTTCCTCGTGAAAATACATTCTATCAGATACGAGGGAGAAAGGGTAAAGTTAGTTTGAGCGTTTATGAAGGAATGAAGAATGGAAAGTTTATACAAGCATATGATACAAACGGTAAACGTGTTTCATTACATTTGTCAAAACTTACTAACATTTATTTTGACAGTGACTTTGACCTATATGAAGAAAAAAGTGAGTCAGAAGATTATGAGCTGTTATGTGAAGCACAGCAATGGGAGGAGTTGCAATACTTTTGTAAGTGAGAACGTTTATTTTTTACATTAGTGAAGTCATTAGTGGTTGGCGGTTTGTAAATATTTAAGGTTAAGTTAGTGTTGTCGTTTGTGTTGTAAAATATACGTTACTGGTTTTGTAAATATTTAAGGTTAAGTGGTGTACGGAGGCGCGCAGTGACTCAGTACACGACTTAGCCATACTAACTATTCCAGCACAACAAATTGATGTCAGAACATTAAATAATGGAAGTGTTACTAACAATGGTATCGTCTCTGACTTTACATATGCTTTGCATAATGTCACTGATATTGTTACTGTATTTCCAACGAGACAATCACAACGAACAGTATTTAGAAACCCAATGGTTAGAAACTTCCAAATCACAATTGATGGTCGCAACTTCCCTGATAATGCAATGAGTACTGTTGGAGATATCTTCTTTACACGTATGCTACAAGCTAGTGATTTAGATGGTGTTAATGAATGTACAGAAGAATATGAAGATAGCTTAACACGAGAAAGAAGTACTTCAGAGAAAATGCTTGCACCGTGGAAAGATCAAACATCCTTTATTTGTACCATACCTGTTATGAGGGATGGTGGAAGTGTCTTCTTTGATGGTTTAGAAACAAAGAATAACCAAGTCAGTATTAGATTACAAGCAAATCCAATTCATACTAAAAGAGAGGCTGATGTATACTGTTCTGTTCAAGATGTTGCACCACCTCAGATGTGGTTTACAAGGACAACTTACTGGACTTGGTGTCCTGAAGATGGTTTGAAATACCATGCAACAGGAACTCCGGCTAAATATGCTTCACCAGCGGATAATGTTTAAAAAAAATTAAATGTTTATTTTTGTTTCTTAAGGAAATTGAGGGGAAAATAATCGTCATTTTTCAGTTTTTTAATGGCACGCACGAAGATGTTGGCAGAACTACAGAAGAAGAGAGAGCAGGAACAACGCGAGAAAGAGGAAGAACAAAGGAGAAGAGAGCTGGAGCAATGGTGGTCAGAGCAAGAGGAAGAAGAGGAAGAAGATCAGGATCAGAATCTGCAAACACCGATGGAACAAGGAACTACAGCACCAATGATACAAGAAGAGAATGTACAAAAGCAACTGGAACAAGCAAGATCAAATCTCAATCGAGTCACTGAGGAATTGAAGAGAAGCCAGACCCATCTTCAGGAAACCCAAAGAGAAAACATTGCACTCTACGAAAAGATGAAAGTCCTGCTCAACGATCCAGAGATCAAAAGAAGAACTCAGGAACAAATCAAGAAAGACGAGGAAGAAGAAAGGCGACTTAAAGAAGAAGAACTAGAAGCGACGAAGAAAGAAGCTCAAATGCTCAGATCTGAACTAATCGCCAAAGACAATGAAATCAAGAAGATTATGAGGGAACTCGAGGAAGCAAATGCTCTCACAACATCAGGAAAAAAGAAGTATGACTTTTGGATCTCGGACAAAGGACAAAAGATCATCGCAGAGCTGAAATATTACGAAAACCATCAGGTTCCAGTCCCATATTGGAAATACAGAAAGATGGTTTGTGAACTCTACCCAGAAGAAGAACAAATGCAGTTTGAATTTCCCGAAGATGCCCTTTTAAGGTATTGCTTCACGAATTTGATCAATACATGGCAACACTCAAGAAGATGCGGGAATGAAACCAGTGCCGAAATCATTTTGCAAGACCTTCAGAGAATCATTTCCAGCCAACTCTGGAGTGAACAATATAACGTTGACCACATATTCCATTAAAAACTTCGACTAAAAACTTAATTTTATTAATTTATACACTTTTTTCATCGTTAATTTTCTTAACAAATTAATCAAATTTCATGAGTTTTGCTTTAGAAAATTGATGATAATTAAGTGAATTTCATTAGCAAAACTCATGAATTTCATGTATTTTCCTTTGAAAACAAAAACGTGCACGTGTGATTTTCAGCCATTTTTCAGCAAACCTATGTAAAGAAATGGTCAAAAAATTCATAAGGCTTCGTGCAAGTTGCTTTAAAAAACTCATGAGGGTGTCAAAAAATGGTCAAAAACTCACAAAATCATGTATTTTAGGGGGTTTTCTTCATTAATGTTCGTTAGTTTTTAAAGAAAACAAAAACGTGCACAAAACCCGCATACTATACTACTAGTATAAATTAGATAATGAATCTCCAATTTGCAAATATTTTGTCACTTTTTTGGTTTGAAATTTTTATGACTGAGGATGAAGAAGAGAATTGTATGATATGCATGGGTCCTTTAGCGACGGAAGGCGAGCATAGAGTCTGTTCTCTTAAATGCGGACATATTTTTGGTTATAAATGCATTGTTGAATGGCTAAATACCAAAAGCACATGTCCTGCATGTAATTCACCTGCAACAGTAGAATCTATCATTCCTTTATATTGGAGAGGTGGCAAAGTTATAAAAAATTCGGAATTAATAATGCTCACACAAGAAAATGAAAAATTAAAAGCAGAAAATGCCGAAATAATTCAATCATTAAGTTCGAATCAGACTTCTCAATACTCTCAAGCAAGCTATTTTCCATCATATCCTACAATTTTAATGACCAAAGAAATAAATGACGGATTACGTCTATCATTTACGAAATCTCGAATAGTAGTCACAGAAAAAGTCAATGACAATTATGGAATTTCATATACAGAATGGCAAAAGCCAAAATGGAATTTTATTCCATTATGCAAACTAATAATACGTGACATATCAGTTAATAAGAGTCCTATTGAGAAATCCTTAACAGTTTCGCATGAAGGATCCTTTTCAGTTGTTAATTTAAACGAAAATTCCATAATTACAACGAATACATTGCCAGAAACACCATGGTGCTGTTGTTGGATAAATGAGGATAAGGCAGCTATTGGCGCAGCACATGGCACAATTTTTGTTGTAAATACAAGAACTGGAGATATAATCTCAAAAAAATCAACTGGACCCGAGAATCCTCAGTTCCAATCCATAATACCAACATCTACTTATTCTGTGATAGCTTTGAACTGCCGAAATGCTTTTACGTTTAATATTGAAACTTCTATGTTTATTCCAAATCCAATAAGCTTTGACCATGAATATATTAAGATGAGTAATGATAATTTAATCGCTATATCATTGAAAAACAAAAAATGCACTTTATGTGATATTAAATTTCAAACTTTGAGGAGTTTGAGATGGTTTCCCATAGGGGAAATTAAAACCAGAGCTAGACCAGCTATTGGCACTAGAAATAAATCAGTTTACATTGCGATTCCAAAACCAAATTTTGATTTCTCAATAAGAGAGATTCATGATATAGATAAAGATTTATACGGATCATTCAGTGAAAGATATACTACTTTTGAGAAAAATGGATCAATTTTAGATCTTGATTTTTCTCCAGGGCCAGATTTTTTATTTGCTGCTATGTCATCATCGCTTTTGATTGTTTTGTCTTTACCTGTTCAATAATAATAAATTGTTTGTATTGTTTATAATGAAACATTTCGTATTTACAATGAATTTATAATCGTTTTAATTTTTTAAAGGCGACATCAAATATAACCTATAATCTAGCAGAAGTTTCACTTTAAAAATGAAATATCGTACCTAAATCTTCTGAAAAATACCCTACTTTCCCAACATTTAGAATAAGGTTATTGCCCTAAAATTCAGTTATAGACACTTAGGAGAGCATTTAAACCATGATATTTTGGCATATGATAGAGAAACATCTTATAAACATTTTCAGTATGTTTTCCTATAAAATAACGATCTCACATGAAATTACTAAAATATCAAATTTTGATTTTCACTTTAAAGTTGGGAGAATACTCTACAGTGACAGGGTATACAATTTTAACCTTTGTTTTGATTATAAATAAAGTATTGATAGAGATATGAGTTGTACAGAATTATACACGTGTGTTTAATCAAATGTAAGTTGTGCAACAATAATGATTAGCTAGATAGTATATTAAGGAACTGTGATTTATGATCTAATTCAATAAGATGTAAATGATATTCAAATATATTAAATAAATGCGAATGTTCAAGATGTGAAATCGGTTAGTTAATTGTTGTATATAGATATTTTACTGTGATTAATGAATTTTTTAACAATTTAAAATTATCAAATTTCAAAATATGCGCAATGAGATAATTTGAGAGTATTTTGAGAACTGAAGACTTATGATTTAGTGTTTTTGAATAAGCACATCAATATAAAGATAGAAAATAAATTGAGATATAATTTTTTTGAAGGTATTATAAGGGTGGAGGTAGTAGGATAAATTTTTAATGTTCTATACTTTCATGGCAAATAATTAAATAGAAGTAAAACTTTGTTTTAAGAATTGAAAATTTTAAATAAAAAAGGAATGTTAGTAATGCTAATTTATTTGATTCCGGGGACACCCCGGTTATCAAATATATTTATTAAAATGGAAAATCTCTCACTTTTCGAAAAAATCGAAACTGCACGGATCTCCGATTCTCGATATGATAATTTATTTGATTCCGGGGACACCCCGGTTATCAAATATATTTATTAGAACGGAAAATCTCTCACTTTTCGAAAAAATCGAAACTGCAAGGATCTCCGATTCTCGATATGATAATTTATTTGATTCCGGGGACACCCCGGTTATCAAATATATTTATTAGAACGGAAAATCTCTCACTTTTCGAAAAAATCGAAACTGCAAGGATCTCCGATTCTCGATATGATAATTTATTTGATTCCGGGGACACCCCGGTTATCAAATATATTTATTAGAACGGAAAATCTCTCACTTTTCGAAAAAATCGAAACTGCAAGGATCTCCGATTCTCGATATGATAATTTATTTGATTCCGGGGGACCCCGGTTATCAAATATATTTATTAGAACGGAAAATCTCTCACTTTTCGAAAAAATCGAAACTGCAAGGATCTCCGATTCTCGATATGATAATTTATTTGATTCCGGGGACACCCCGGTTATCAAATATATTTATTAGAACGGAAAATCTCTCACTTTTCGAAATTTTTTTTAACAAAAATATGGCATTCTTAAATTATAGTTACATGTTATTTCACAATCATTATCATTAAAAAATTCAATTATTCAAGTTGTTTTGTCCCGACGGTTTTTACGGTTATAAAAATGGTTGCGAACTCAATCCATCAGCAAAATGTCGGTTGGGGTGCCCTTCTTGGCCTCCTGAGTACTCACCAAGATACCCCCAGCTCCCGCAAAACACCTCCCTTAGGTGAGCATTAACTGATGACATGAGTTAACAATTCTACAAAATCATCAAGCATGAAGGTTTATGATTTATAAATCAAAATCTCAGAAACTGCTTGACTTTGCAAGTTGCTGTCTTTACCGGTTACTCTGCTGCAATCTCTTTTCTGATTGCAGGCAGAGTTCTGCATCCTGAGGACATTGCCTTGCAGATATGCTTGTAATCACTACGTGAGCAACTTGGTGTTGCAAGTTGCTGTCTTTACCGGTTACTCTGCTGCAATCTCTTTTCTGATTGCAGGCAAAGTTCTGCATCCTGAGGACTTTGCCTTGCAGATATGCTTGTAATCACTACGTGAGCAACTTGGTGTTGCAAGTTGCTGTCTTTACCGGTTAGCTTTTTTTGAAGTTTCTTCGCATCTTATATAAGCTCTAGATCAATATTTATCATCAGAATTTGCATCTCATAAAGCACGATATTAATCAAATAGGCAAATTTCATTCGGAGTCTCTCATTAAATGAGAAACTCCGAATGAGATTTGCTCTAAGGTAATGTACTTGTTATGCTTGGCCTAGAAGCAAGGAGGAAACATGTATATGGTTTGTTTATACTGAAGTTATCTGGAATTCTCTCAATTGAGGATTCAAATCCAGATAACAGCAGTATAAGTTAATATTGTTGTGCACCTCAGGTTGTTTATAGGCCCGAGAACGAGAAAAGAATTTATGGTGTGAATTGGCTCGATATATACCTACGCTCTGTAAAAAATACGTTATATTTTCTTTCATATGAGAAAAATGTTTTTCTTTTTTATAATACTATGTGCTTTGTTACTTCATAAATTGTCTATTTTTCTTATTAAAACCTATTTTTTCCGTGTGATTCGGAATCTACGCATTCAAAAAATGCGTTTTCCGCTCTCAGAACGCGAAAATATGAACTACATGACGAGATAAATCGATTTATTATGTTCCTAAATATTCTCATTTTTCAATCTTGCTCAATACTCAAAAATAAGCAGACTCTCAAATAGAGAACATAAAATAACTCATATTTATCATATTAAAATTTTGAAAAAGTCTCCCGAAAAAATCATATTTCGAAAATTTCGAAAAAAATAAGTACATTTTTCGCCAAAGAAAAAAGAAAAATGTTTTTTTTTTGAATTTTTGATGATAATATGCACTCCTGACGGTCGCAGTGTCTCATTCGGGAGACATTGCCTGTGCATGTCTCCCAGAATGGCATACTGTTCCGCATTCATAACTTGAATGCGGAACTTTGACCGACAAGAGTGCATTGTGCACTCTTGTTGGTCTGCATGTGTCATTCCGGGAGACATTGCCTGTGCATGTCTCCCAGAATGGCATACTGTTCCGCATTCATAACTTGAATGCGGAACTTTGACCGACAAGAGTGCATTGTGCACTCTTGTTGGTCTGCATGTGTCATTCCGGGAGACATTGCCTGTGCATGTCTCCCAGAACGAGACAATTTATTGCAATCAGAATACGATTGCAAAACTTTGACCGACAAGAGTGCATTGTGCACTCTTGTTTGTCATCCACTATGATACTTAGAGAAAATACTTTACTTACATTATTTAAAATATTAATTTCCCTATTTAATATTTATTTATTATTTTTTGTGCTTTATATTCCCTATGGCATGTACTGAACTATTTTATAGACTCTACCGAGCTATCTCCACATATAAACATTTGACAATAACACATATATACTCTCTTCATATTCTAGTCTCATGACATATTATTGCAAAAGCTATATTTATACAGCATACCTCATAAAGTCTCATTATATCCCTATCTAAGCGTTCAAAACCTATTTTCCCCACGTAATCTGATTCTTCAGGCTCCGCTGATTCGATTTCTTTCTGCTGTCAGATCGTGAAAATATGAATCACATAACAAGATAAACACAAATCCAAAATAATAATGTTTTCTTCAAATTGACTCTTCCACGATATTCATATATTTGTTATTAATTCCGTTTTCCCTTACAAATGTATTTAATTTTCTGAATAATACGTATTATAAAATGAATATCTCAAAAACTAAATTAAAAAATTAATACTGGGTAATAACTAGATATATTGTGACTTTTTGAATTCACACACTTTTGGAAAAAATTGAATTTTTCTAAAATGATGTTGTTTGAACATGAACTTAAAGAGTTTTTTTACGTAAAATATCAAGTTGGGTAACTTGTGTTTATCTTGTTATGTGATTCATATTTTCACGATCTGACAGCAGAAATCGAATCAGCGGAGCCTGAAGAATCAGATTACGTGGGGAAAATAGGTTTTGAACGCTTAGATAGGGATATAATGAGACTTTATGAGGTATGCTGTATAAATATAGCTTTTGCAATAATATGTCATGAGACTAGAATATGAAGAGAGTATATATGTGTTATTGTCAAATGTTTATATGTGGAGATAGCTCGGTAGAGTCTATAAAATAGTTCAGTACATGCCATAGGGAATATAAAGCACAAAAAATAATAAATAAATATTAAATAGGGAAATTAATATTTTAAATAATGTAAGTAAAGTATTTTCTCTAAGTATCATAGTGGATGACAAACAAGAGTGCACAATGCACTCTTGTCGGTCAAAGTTTTGCAATCGTATTCTGATTGCAATAAATTGTCTCGTTCTGGGAGACATGCACAGGCAATGTCTCCCGGAATGACACATGCAGACCAACAAGAGTGCACAATGCACTCTTGTCGGTCAAAGTTTTGCAATCGTATTCTGATTGCAATAAATTGTCTCGTTCTGGGAGACATGCACAGGCAATGTCTCCCGGAATGACACATGCAGACCAACAAGAGTGCACAATGCACTCTTGTCGGTCAAAGTTCCGCATTCAAGTTATGAATGCGGAACAGTATGCCATTCTGGGAGACATGCACAGGCAATGTCTCCCGGAATGACACATGCAGACCAACAAGAGTGCACAATGCACTCTTGTCGGTCAAAGTTTTGCAATCGTATTCTGATTGCAATAAATTGTTTCATTCTGGGAGACATGCACAGGCAATGTCTCCCGGAATGACACATGCAGACCAACAAGAGTGCACAATGCACTCTTGTCGGTCAAAGTTCCGCATTCAAGTTATGAATGCGGAACAGTATGCCATTCTGGGAGACATGCACAGGCAATGTCTCCCGGAATGACACATGCAGACCAACAAGAGTGCACAATGCACTCTTGTCGGTCAAAGTTTTGCAATCGTATTCTGATTGCAATAAATTGTTTCATTCTGGGAGACATGCACAGGCAATGTCTCCCGGAATGACACATGCAGACCAACAAGAGTGCACAATGCACTCTTGTCGGTCAAAGTTCCGCATTCAAGTTATGAATGCGGAACAGTATGCCATTCTGGGAGACATGCACAGGCAATGTCTCCCGGAATGACACATGCAGACCAACAAGAGTGAACAATCCGCTTTCTCCTTTGAAATCCAACATTCTAATCACATCTACATTAATAAATTGTTATAAAATACTAATCAAAGATCCAATACAATTCTACTATCTTATTCACACATTACCAATGTTAATACCTCTTATAACTTAAATTATTTCATAAAATTTGTTTTTATATCTTATTATTTTCTCATAATGCTTCTAATACATCTCTAATTTCTTACATTCAAACACCAATATCGTCATACTATCATAAGCACTTAATTTTTTCAAAATTTTAGACTTAAATTTGAGCTACATTTTCATCATCATTTTTAGCCTTAAGCTTCTATAAGGTTATAATACATTATCGTAATATTCTAATATTTATGATTCTTACTACTCAATTCAATATAATCATATAAGTCACTCATAATCAGGAGCATAATTTAAAAATCTATAGCTCATATTTTGACAATTATATATATAGATGATGCATATTGCAATTCCGGTTTCAACACGATCAAATGTCAAACCATGATAAAATATATATCAATTTACAAAATATCGATTAACATTAGAATCCATATCTAATTCCATCAATGCACAAGTTGTAAATGCTTAATTCATCTTTGAGAAACGTGAATAGCACAATTTTATAAGATTATTTGTTGAATATTTAAAATATAAGCCAAATCGAATCTGCTGTATATTACTTTAGTTTATCATTGAATGTTAAATGTGCTCAGATAAATATTTGAGTCAGATATCGCATTTTCTAATTTCAAAATTTATCTCATGAAGTTAGAATTTATTTGATCATACAACATCATATTAGTCAAACTAGAGTTCAATCGCGATTCCAAAATGGAACAATTGCTTGTTTTATCAAAATGTTAAAATATTAATCTAAAAAACTTAATATCTAACCAAAACATTCTAGAAATATCATATATAGGTATATGCAATCTAAATGCACACGAAATACTGAAAATTAAAAAGAATATTTATGAGATTATTAAATCTTATGCATTTCAATGAAGAGTCGATAATTATCATCTATATAGGTTATATATCAACATATGAGTTTTTGGATTGACCACTACTATACTAATGTGATCAAATTAATCTGATTTCTTGAATTTTCATTTGAAGCATTCGCAGTAGTAGGAGTACCTTCATATATTAACATATTAAAAAATTGCGCCCAGATTCGCAGTTTAATCATGATTTTAAGATTGCATTAGATTTCGAAATGCAGAAAAAAATCACTTTAGATTCCCTTCAAACTCTAAGCATAAGCATGTCTCTATATGAGGAAACTATTTGAGCTATTCATTTGGCGGCCCAAAAACTCATGTTGCCTGAGCGCAGAAAATACCAATTTTTGGACCCTGGGTAGGGGGTCATGCATGTTTTCTAAATGTTGGAAAAGTAGGGTATTCCTAAAAAAGGTACTGTTCTTCAATACTTATATACTTTAAGTGAAATTTTTAATAAAAAGTATTAAGATAATATACAATTAATTTTAATCATAAGTTGTAATAGAATCAATGAATGCTTGGAATACTGATTCATCTGGATTGAAATCAGGATCAATTGTTTTGATAATTTCCTTTAATGAAGAATCATTCACGTAAAATCCACATTCCTTTGCCTTCATAATCATTTCTTCTGTTCCGTATTTCACTTCTTCATAAGTTTTATCACAAATTGATGATAATTTCTTTTTATAGGCTTCGTACTGTTTATATTCGGAATCATTAAGGTATGTTTTTGCGATGTCCTCCATACGTTTCTCAAGATCAACTGGTTTGATTCTTTCTTTGTATTCTCCTTTCCAACATTCAAAAATTAAGCCTGCAATTTCCTTGTTGAAACCATCTTTTGTGAATTTTTCATCGACTAGAATTTCATCATCTCTCAATCCGCCTTGAATCATTTCTTTAATAATAGGTTTGACATATTCAGCGGCGATTCTCCTTTGTTCTTCTATTTCTTCTTTACTAGCACCATCCATTTCCTGGATTTCCTCATAATCTTTAAGACTTTTATATGCATCGCGGGTTTTTGAAGTAATATTCTCTTTGTAGAATTCAATAAAATATTTGAGACCTTCTTCAGTAGTAAATGCCTTCTCAAATGGGTAGTTTCCTGTAATTACGTTGAACATTACTCCACCAAATGAAAAAACATCCGATGCGCACTTTCTTATGGTTTTGTATATCTCTGGAGCTGTAAAAGGAACTGTACCATGACTTGTTGATATTGACAAAGAATATCTGTCGGTAGAATCATCCCAATCAATGATATGAGGAATAAAATCGCCATCAATAATAATGTTGTCTGGTTTAAGGTCACGATGCTTAACGTTCTTTTCCTTCATTAGAGTTAATTGGAAAATTAGTGCAGAAAAATTTCCAATGCGTACAGCGTTTTGATGTGTTTTCTTTTGGGAATACTTCTAATAATTTCACCTAAAGTATTTCCTGGAATATAATCCATCAGCATCCATTCAAATCTTTGGCCACTGTGGCGCCTCGAATTATCATAGTAACAAGGTGTTAGATGAAATTGAAATTCCAGCATTGCCTTAAATAAATTATTGATATCTGTTCCACTTTTGTTGAATAATTTTTTAAGGATTTTGTACTGGTCATTGTGCTTCAAAATCCAGCAACATCCATTGCCACCTGCACGATAATTCCATATGGGCTCTGCCCGACTATCATACCATGTATCTGTTTTCAACATTTGATTTAGGCAAATTTTTCAAAAAAAAAATTACATCACCTCACATGGATCTTTTTTGACTTATGCCAAGATGGCATACAAATTATCAGAAACTATAGTTACTTTTCAATGAGTAGATCTTGCTCTGGATTTATGAACACACCAACATGCAATGCAACATTTATTGATTTTGTTAGAGAATAAATTCCTATTATTTTTCTGAATAAACATAATGACACAGCCGAAAATAAGATAACTTACTACTTTCTGACATGCTCTCAAAAATAGGAATTTGAGAATGTGTCAGGAAAAAGGGGGGAACTTCGTCGACAACAAAGGTATCGACCAAAATTGTTCCCATTATGCTTGACATATGAAGTATAGTAATAGTGTGTATGGACTCATAGAATGACTTTCGTTTGATTTCGAGATATATTATCATCTTCTAAAATATCCATACTTTACTTGATAACTCATATGTATTATCGTATTATGAAAATTAAACGAAAAATATGGCTCAAGACGAGCAAAATTCGATGCTAAAAAAGTAAATTGTTTAATGATTAGGGTGCTTTCAGGTATTTTTCTGAAGAAACACTTTATTCGTTTTTCTTTCTACATCTGTATATAAAACATGCACAAATAAGGATTTATAATTAAAAATATTATTCGAATTGGGTAATTAAATCGTTAGATCTTAGATTTTATTAATCGTTTCTTCTTAAAATGAGACTGTGGTAATGGGAACTGTGTATGAGAGTTGAAGTATTGTTAAATTGCGCGAAATGTTGATAAGTTTCAAAAACAATTTGTAGTATGTTCAAGTATATTAGAATTTAATAATATGTGATAACATCGACTGCAAATAATTGATTTTAAGTGATTGATGAAAATCGATATCAATATTTAAAATTTTCGAGGTTTTTTTGACTGATAGCAATTGCTTTGGACATCTAGAATGAAGTTCTCCTTGGTGAGTTTCTCCAAATTTTTTCCATTTTAGAAAAAGCCTATGCAATTTTCTAGAAAATGATAACGTTTTTTTCAATTCTCGATTTTTTTGGAAAAATGAGGTTAATTTTTTTTGAAAATTTATAATTTAGAGAGAAATAAACCATTTTCATTGTGTTATAAATCGATAAAACCTTTTTATTTTTGTATTCTATAATATTTCTACTAAAATATATCACTTATACAGCAAAATCATATAACTATTTTTCAAAGATATAGAAAAGAAGAATATATTCCTAAATTATAAATCAGTCATAGTTTACTATCAAAAATAATATATTATTATATATAGATAACCATCCATTGTTAGTAATTTAAAATTATTTCTGGTTCAAATTAAGGATTATCTTCACATGTTTAGAAAATATTGTAAACATCTAGAAAACAATCAATAATATCATGATTTTATTAACAGATGAGTTCAAGATATATATTGTGATTTGATTTTCGATAATAAATCTGAATCAAATGTATATTAAACTCGCACATTTAGTCTTCTTATCATAATAATGTTATTAGTTAGTGACTATGGCTAAAAAATAAGCAACATTAGATCTGTATCTCATAATCAAACGGAAGTTAAGCTAAGATATTTGAGATTTTATCACCTGGTAGTATGCATGATACTATACCAGAATGACTAGTCAATCTGTTGTTTTAATAACGTTTTAAATTTTTTATGCCAAAATAGTACTCTGGCTATCATTGGTAATACGTAAGGTTGCTACTGTTGTAATATTTCGAAAAAATAAAGGTATCAAATTTAATGCAAGATATGATGAGTTGAACATCGAATAATTGGGTTTTTGTAATACTAATCTTCTCTAGTCCCTAGTATATCATTGTTTCATACTAATAACGTGGATCAATTCCGTTTCAATGATCAGATAAAGCAGAAACAATATACTCAGGTGCCACTTTTTTGGTCTAAAAAATGAGTTCCCCCCTTTTGTCAGGAAGTGGTAAATACTCTTTTAAAAACGTCTCGATTTTGAGGGATCTGGGGGCCATTTTGCAAAATTTTTATTGTCTTATACCCAGTTGAAGTTATTTAAAAATGATATCCTGAGTAAAAAAAAAATACAATTAAATAAGAATAGATATAAAGAATTTTTATTCGTCAAAATCTTGGAGTGTCTGAAGAGTTGCATCTTCAGCGACTTCATCAGCTCTATTTCCAAACATATTTGGTATTTTCTTGCTGCAGCCAGGTACATCAAGAAGAATCTTCAACAGTTGGTTATTTCCTGCTCTAGATGCAAGGAAAACAGGCGATTCTCCTTTTTCATCTGTGCAATTTACGTTGCATTTAGAATCAATGCAGAATTTAACAACTCTTATCTCATTCTGTTCTGATGCACGACATAAACAAATATTCAATTCGGAGTTGTAGAATGCCTGAGCGATTTTTGGTCGAATGTAATTGAACAAATCAATTCTCTTGAAATAAGTTGCGACTCTGAGGCATTTTTCGAAGTCATAACCACGAGATAAGAAGTATTGTATCGATTTCATGTTTCCACCGGCAACAGCGAACATCATCGGAGAAGAAAATTGTATTTTATGTGATAATATCCAGTCAACGATCTTTGTTGAGCCAAAGAAGGCTGGAAAGTCAATATATGATGGTGTCATCTTCAAGAATTGGCATGGAATAAACAAAATGTCATCAACAAATCCTTCCAAATCTATTTTTTCTTGATTTACGTGCCTTTCGAAAGAATTGACATCATCTTTCATTATACTGTAGGCAATATGTGTCTTTTCAACACCAATTTCTGTAAGTTCTTTTAATTTCGAAAAATCATTTTCGCTAAGTTCGGAAAATCTGTCTTGATATGGGTGTAAACACCTCTCTGTAAGTCGAAGATCAGGAATCATCTCGTTTAACTTCTTTGTAAAGCGTTGATCCGTAGATGTAATTTCTGGTAAAAAGAATAAAGCGGCAAGGAATAAAAAGTTTGGTCTGGAGGCATCTATTTCTTTCATTGATGCTGTAATTGACTGAATTTTGACAAGTTTAGCATTCAAAAGCATTCTTAGAAAGTGAAATTTCGTAATAACAACATCTGGATTGTATTCTGGTGTGAATTCGAAGCATACTTTAATTATCTCGGCTGGAAGAGCTCCAATTGCATTCCTTTTGCTTTCTCCAGCTAAAATTTTTGAAATTAATTCAACATAAAGTGGTAATTCCAGGAAACGGAGTTGAATCGTATTTAATAGAGTCTTGCATAAAATTGGTAATGATTCTTGTGTCTTGGCAAAGGTTGAACTTATGATATATTTGGCAATATGTTTCAAATTTGATTCATTGAGGTCTGAAAACCATGAATTAAGCTCCATTATACTTTTTTGTTTTAGGGTTAATTGAACATCTTCACGAAATCCATTTGGAGTATCAATTGCGTAGAGCATTTTTCGGAATAAAGAAAAATTGATCGAATTTCAAAAAGAAAATACGGATGTCTAGAGGTAAGTAAAAGAGATAGATAATTAATAGGGAAAGTTCATGTTCAAAAAAGCCCGTAGCGATTATTTTTCATACAAATATTTGACTTGTCAGATAATATCGGAAATGAGGAAAATAGGAGATGGAATTTATTACTAATGTTATTTAAATTTATAGAAATATTTCTGGAAATCGGTCATAGTGTAATGGTTATCATGTAAGATTGTCGTTCTTTTGATCCGGGTTCGATTCCCGGTGACCGAGCTTTTTTATTATTTTTTTATGCAGTGCTTAAAGGTACATCTTCAATTTTTTGCATTGCAAAGTTGATCAATGGCTTTTTAAAGTCGTACATTCTTAAAAACTGACTGTTATCATATGCTAAAAATTTGAAAAAATAATTTTTATTAAATAATATAACAAATATTTCAAATAAAATTAATAAAATACAAGTAATTTGTAGGGCTTACATTTTTGCATCATTCATGAGACAATAAAGATTCATGAGTATTAATGAAAATGTAATTTTATGTTAAATAAACAATTACGCTGATGAAACAGATGATAAATCCTTGTCTGAGAAGTTTTCTGCATTTGCAATCGTTGGTTGTTGATGATCAAAATTTGATGAATGTTGTGGTGGAACTAAAGCATCTTGTGGAACTTGAGTTGGTTCGGTTGGTTCGGGTAAAGCATTTGGATTAGCATATTTTGCTGCAGAGTCTTGGTTGTCAGCTTCTTTGCACATTATGATATTTTTTGACAATTTGTATCGTCGTAAACGTTTCAAAAACGCTCTTTACAAGGTATAGTTTTTAAAACGGAAATAGCCATATCTCTGTTTAATTTAGAGTTTTCAGTGAATGAAATCGAGTTTTCACATCAATATTCAGTCAAAATTGTGAAAATATATTCAAGATTGTGTTCAGCGAACACTTATATATGTAAATACTCTTATTTTATCTTTTGAATGTAATTCTTAGAGGTAATAATATTCATCTTGATATTAAAGAATCACACAAATAAATATCGCAGTAATGATTGTAATGATTCGTTTCTCATTAAGAAACTCTATTAAGTAATAATCCCTTATTAATCAAGAAGCTCCAATCTGAGAAGAGTGGTAAAAATTTAGGAAAATTTGAGCAATTAAATAAAAAAAATATAAAACCATATAGACAAATAAGAAACACTTCAAGTAGATAAAACAAACAAATAACATATTTTACAAAACAAAAAATATATAAACATATAAATTTCCATTTTCATGAAATTGTTGAATTTGGTGGTGGAGAGAATGAAGGCATAACAGGAGAAACTAATGCAGGATATCCTATTGGCAAATCGCAAGCTTGAACAATCAAATTTCTCATTGTGTGGTCGTCCTCTTGAATTGATAGTCTTTCGCTGTTATCTTCGCCAAAGAATATCTGTTCAACTGCTTCACTTGCCCAATATGACCTTACAAACTCTTTTTGCACAGACAAAACGTCCCAAACAACTTCAGTCAGTCTAAAGAACAAAACGAAACGGCCATCGGCTTTATCTTCAAATGCGACCAAGTCTTTTCTTTCTTGCATGAATGCTTCACTAAATTCTGTACTTTGTGCAGGAGCAACGAAGTATCTGAGGCTTGTATCTGATATAAATGCTCTGCATGACTCGGTTGTGTCTGTTTCTGGTCCTAATGACATGGAACATAATGATAAATACAAAACGATGTTTCTGGCAGCATTTTGGATGATTGGCTCTGGATGGCCATGGAAAACTCTAAATAATTTGTCCCTGTCAATTGCGTCGTTTGTAAAGATTGATTCCATAAAATTCTTTTCTAACCATTTTAATGACTTTTTCATGGAATCGTCGACATTAATCTCGACAACAGTTATGGCTAATTGGAAATCAATGTCCAATTCCCCGTCTAATTCAAAGGGAGGCAACTTATTTTCGACAATGAAAGGTTTTGCACTGACAGCGAAGGCCAAGAATGACCAGAAACGCATTTCATCAACTGTTAGACTTATAAATGCATCCGAACTCTTAATTTTTGTTACATTATATTGCCATAAAATAACTCCAGTGGCTCTTGTCTTCCAATCCGTAATCATATACATGCAGCTTGATGTAATATTAGGAACTCCATCCTTGTAACTGGAAATATCATCTTTAAGCTTTGCAATTTCGCCTAGATGACAAATTGTTTCATCATTGTACTCCAAACCTCTTAATTGGAACAGAACTGAGTTTGGTTCGATACTTATTATATGCACAAATGCCGCCAAAGGCTCGCTAAGGAACAAATAAAAAGAATTTGAGCTAACAATGCCCAAACGGCCGGATCTGACCAAACCGTAAAGGGAAAAAACAAGGGATTGAGTCATTGAAGTGTAAACTGGAGTTTCTATGGGATGTTCCGTTCGATGTTGGAGATAATTCCTTGCAATATCGATATTTCGGTTCTCCAACACTTGGTTCCAGAACGAATTTGGTCGGGGAGGGAATGGCAAAAGAATGTAAGGGAATTTTGATGGAATATGGTAAGGAGCACCAGTAACGAAGCTCCAGATGAAAGCTATAGTTGTAACTGACCTATCTGCAAACGGTACAGACATAATTATTAAAGTCACAAAGTATAATGTAATTTTTTCTAAAATTGTATCGCCGGAGAAGTGATCTAGTATCTGATAAACAGCCGGAAGTCTGGATCTACTCCAGAAATCTGTAACTGATATCACAGAAACCAATTTCTGCAAAACCATCATTGAATAAAAAATTCCAAAGGTTCTATCGGTCAAATTAAGTTCTATTTCGTAGAATATTTTTTCAATGAGCAGGGCCAACGCAAAAATGTGAGGTTCCGTGAAAGACTTATTTATGCACATTATTAGGATGAATCCTGTCAATATGAAGTTGGCGGGATTGATGGACAATGTCAGTCCCAAAACCATTGGACAGATGAAGCAAGGTGTCAAAAATCTTATGAAATTAACCGTATTTGAAGTGAACGGAATAAATCTTGTCGTAAAGAAGATATATCGGTTAATTGCGCATCCGTATGGCCAAAGTATATCGAATACGCCTAAAAATGTCATGGAAAATATATATAATACTGATTCAGTCGAAAAAGTGGTTGAAGCGCCTGTATAACAGCCGATATAAGCTACAACACCCATACATAGTATGAAAACAACTGAAATAAGCGATCTCCATGAGAGTTTGAAACAAATTCTTGTCGGAATTTGTAAAATTACTACAATTATTGCGCACGACAAGCTAAGTGTTAATCTGCTATAATTAGCTGATAAAATACCAGTAATAATTGCATATAAAATGGCAGATCTAATAAATAAAATTAATGCATTGCCACAGCTTGTAACTCCGCAATGACCGAACAGATACCTTGATGCCCATTCCAATATCCAGGTCAGCATCGTAATCGGGTGGCCAATAAATAAATATGTCCATAATGGGAACAAATAAAGGCCGTAAACGAAGAAATAGTATAGCCAATGTATGAATTCTGTTATATTCTCTTGAATGGCCGAATCTTTTAATAAATCTGGAAATAATTTATTTGATTGAATAAATTGCAAAATTCCGACAACACAAGCTATTGAAGCTGGTCTGGTAATTCCTGTGTATATGTCTCCTGTCGTTGTTGAGTAATAATCGACTTCTGGTGGATGCAAAGTGCTGTACAAAGCTGGCCCGAAAACAAAGCAAAGCCAGATCTTCCCTGGTAATGGAAGTGTCTTCATATGCATCGGACACAGTACATTCATAAGAAAATTTACGCAAAATGCAATAATTACGTAGAAAAAGGAAGTATTTCCGCCAAATAAAGAATCTAAGCTATCTCTTGTAAAAGGTAATGTAAATTGATGGCCGCATATGATTAAAACGTCTTTCTTTTCGTTTTCTGATGAAGTATCTGCTTCAGAAACTTGATTTTCTGATTCTGTAACAATTTTTATGAAATTTATAACGACATTTGGTTCAAAACCTCTGTCAATAAGATCAGAAAAGATGTTTTCGGTAATAGGACCGTCGTATGGGATATCATTTCTTAAATCCCATAATTCTTGAGGGATTCCTTCTGGAGGAGTATTGCTAGACAGCTGCGCTTTTCTGGTGATAGTTGTATTTTCTGTGTTTTGTTGTTTTTTTGGTATAATTTGGGTATGATTTACTATTAATGTTAAAATTACTAAGGTTATTTTGATTGCGAATATGAAAAGTGATAATACTATCGAAAATTGGATAGATTGTGTCCAAGTAAAATCATAAAATGCAGGAATCAAATATACTAAAATTAAAAGGATGAAAACTATCATTCTGATAATATTAGTTGCAATATTATTAGAAATGGCTAGCCCTGAACAAAAGGAGATGAGCCAGCGCCGATGTCCATCCCCTATTGTCATCAAAAACTTAACTTTAATAAAAACTTGATAATCGTAAATTAGAAATTGAGAGTTAATAAAAATTTATTATCGGCAAAATAATCATATAATAAAATTATTTGGAAAATCCTAAAAATATTCTCCTTCCGTCAAAAAAATTGAGAGAAATTGTGTTCGTCATTTAAGTTGATATTTGCATATCTGTGATTATTGATATATGAAGACATTACATTTCATATTTTTGCAACGGTTTTTTTGAATAAACTTTATTCAGTAGAAATAAATGCCATCCGATTTTATTCTAAGGCAATTTTTGAAACTGGAGCAAGACGAAGCTTGCATAGATATAAGTGCTTCAGCCTTTTCTATTTTGCAGTTTTATTTTATGTAATTAAGAAGATATTACTAGCCATACTCAACTTTATCTAGCTAGATGCTTTGAAAGCTAGTAAATTAAAACTAATTTGCAGCTTATTGAAATTCTTGCGCCATGCTTCATGATGTATTAGATTTGTTAATTTTATTTTCCATAATTCTTTAATAAAATTTGTAAATATAATATATTAGATTTGTAAAGTTAAGCTCTATCATTTTCATATTTATTTTATTGGATTTATTTTCATATTTATCATTGATTTATAGGATTCTTTTTCTTATAATATTTAATATTGCTTTATTGAGTTCTATTTATTATATCAAATGTTCTCTTGATCACGGGGCCAACATCTTCAAGTGGGCCAAAGCATACGAAACACAAAAACTCTTCATTGCCTGATTAAAGTCTTTCATAATTGTTTTATATTGTTTTAATCAAACTAGACATAAATTGCCAAGTTGGCGAGTTTATATATATATATGTTGAAAGAAAACATAGTTGCATCATTGCGAATCCGAGCACGTGGGCGTCAAAAAGTGCTCGCCGAGCTCACCATAAAAAATCGAGATCTATAGGTTTTTCTTCTTTTTTAGCGCTCTCATCTGCATACTCAGCAGCACTTTTTCCATCATTATCCTTTTCATTGATATTCGCACCATGTGAAATAAGAAGTTCGGCTATTTCTTTACTATTTGTACAAGCTGCTTCATGAAGTGCAGTTTTTCCGTTTTTATCTTTTTCATTGATATTTATGCCATGTGAAATAAGAAGTTTGGCTATTCCTTTATTGTTTTCATGGATTGCAATATGAAGAGCAGTGCAGCCATCTTTATCTTTTTCGTTGATATTTGCACCATTCGAAAGAAGAAGTTCGGTTGTTTCTTTTTGAACCCAGCCATATTTTCTTGCTGCTTCATGAAGTGCAGTTCTTCCGCCATTGTCTTTTTCATTGACATTTATACCATGTGAAATAAGAAGTTCGGCTGTTTCTTTTTTATTTGCATAGGCTGCTTTATGAAGTGCAGTTTTTCCGTCATTATCTTTTTCATTGATATTTATGCCATGTGAAATAAGAAATTCAGCTGTTTCTTTACTATTTTTATAGGCTGCTTTATGAAGTGCAGTTTTTCCGTCATTATCTTTTTCATTGATATTTATGCCATGTGAAATAAGAAATTCAGCTGTTTCTTTACTATTTTTATAGGCTGCTTCATGAAGTGCGGTTTTTCCGTTATTATCTTTTTCATTGATATTTATACCATGTGAAATAAGAAGTTCGGCTGTTTCTTTTTTATTTGCATAGGCTGCTTTATGAAGTGCAGTTTTTCCGTTATTATCTTTTTCATTGATATTTATACCATGTGAAATAAGAAATTCGGCTGTTTCTTTACAATCTTGAAGTGCTGCATAATGAAGTGCGGTTTGCCCATATCCTTCTTTTTCATTGATATTCGCACCATGTGATATAAGAAGCTCGGCGGTTTCTTTACTATTATTTTCTGCTGCAACATGAAGAGCAGTTTTTCCATGTTTATCTTTTTCATTGATATTTGCACCATGTAAAATAAGAAGTTCAGCTGTTTCTTTACTATTTTATAGGCTGCTTCATGAAGTGCGGTTTTTCCGTCATTATCTATTTCATTGATATTTATACCATGTGAAATAAGAAATTCGGCTGCTTCCTTAGAATTTTCATAGGCTGCATTATGAAGAGCGGTTGATTTAAGATAATCTCTTGCCATGATGTCAGCACCAAGTGATAAGAAATATTCGCAAATGGATGGAATATTGAAACATGCTGAATAAACAAAACATGTGTTAATATCATTAGTTAGATCGAAATAAACTAAAAATGATTCAAGGTTTTTATGATCTATGCAATGATATAAACGTATATATATATCTATATTGTATTCATTCATCAAGAATGTAACAAAATCAATATTGTGTGAAATAATTGCATACTTCATGCAATCTTTATCTGGTTTGTGATGTTTCAAACATTCACTCATAATCTCTGGATTTCCTCCTAGAAATGAACTTATTAGACATTTATAAGTTATTTCTGAGTTAAATTTTGTTCTTAATAACTTGAAACAGTCAACAGCTCCATGGTAGCAGCATAATTCAAGTAATGTAGATTGTTTCATCTCATGTGGATATAAACTGCTTACAAGTTTTTGATCTTTATCAAATCCTTCTCTTTCGGTGAATGAAATGAATCTTTCTAAATCATTATACATAATTGCTCTGTAAATTGTATCTTCTGTATGAATATCAAGATTTTTTGATTTAATTTTTTCGAAATCATCAAATTTGTTTAATTTAATTCCATATTCTTTGTAAAACAATAAGTTTGAAATAAATCAACATTTCTGACCTCCAGGATATGATAATCATCTGAAATGAGTTTCGCAAGATATAAATATGACTTTGTATAACGATTATTATACGGAATGATATCAAAAATATCTTTTATTAAAATTTGCGGAAGACGCTTCTCTGAATCAATCAATTCTGTTTGTATCATTTTGTAAATCTTGTTTAATTCTTCTTCTTTTTCCGTTTTCAGTTGATACAATGCATTATATGAATCGATATAGTATTTAAACTTATCTCGCACTTCACCGTATTTGTTTGGATGAATGTCTTGATCAGACATTAAAAATTTTTTAAAAGGACAAATTTGTATTTTACCATAAATAATATCTTTAATATTCATTAAGGATACCCTTACGTGTCAGATTTTTTGCGCATACGAAGAAGTCATGCTAGACATGAGCTATAAACCTGAAATTTTAGCAACATATTTAAAACTTTTTAAACTACAATACACTTTAATATTCAAGAACAAAAATATTCTTTTTAGAAATTACATAATTATTTTATGTGAAATCTATATAAAAACATATTTTGCGAGCGTAACTTTTTTCTTTATAAGCACCTTATATGACTGATAAACTGTGAAGGCACATAATTGTTAATTCATAGAGTTGATATGTTTCCAAAATTGAGAGGAAATTTGAAAATTGAATACCCTTTCAATTCAATTTTCAAAAGATATCAGCTCCTTCAATAATTGAAGGACGATTTTGATCATTTGCTCTTAAAACAAGTATGCCATGGAGAAAAAAGTTACGCTCGCAAATCTGAAATATAACTATCATATAAAAAAATTAAATTTCTAATTTTTTACTCTATAGATATTATTGGCCACTTGTGTAATGCATAAAAGTTTATGTCATATGCATACATTTGGAAGTATGGGAGACGAGGGAAATTACTTCTATGAGGCACTAGGATTTTTAAAAATTTCTCTATCGGACTCACCATTCAATTTCTCGAAAATTAAAAAAAATCAATAATAGCTAAAATGTATTATGCATAACAAATTTTAATGTTACACGGTATTTTTTGAACTTCATGACATGAATTTTCTTTATATTATTTTTTTTTGGATTTTCTATGATTTATGCGATAAGCTGGAACAACATTGTAAGTGCAATGATATCATTTATAGAGAAATCTAAAACTTCAGCATTCAGAACTCGCAACCACAAAAATATTCATTTGCTAAGTAAGTAAAGTTGATTAAGTTCGACACTTAGCTTTTATACGTAAAACCAAGTGTGTATTGTTATTTCTTGTTAAATTATTGAGAAAAAAATAAATTGTAAGAGAAACGATACTGATTATTGAAATAATATTGAGGGTAGCTGCAGATTTCTTCATTAACATGCCGGAAATTTGTTAATCTTGGTTTTCTATCATAAAATCTGTCGAAGAATCTAAAAACGGAGATATGAAATAGAGATCATGTAAATCTAGAGTATCCTGTCAGAAAAATAGACTAAGCATGTAACCCTTTTTTGGTCATAAACACTTTTTACCACTTAGTCATACAGATGATCATTAAATTTAAACGAGCACTTTTTGTCAGAATTTATTCTTTTACAAAGACAGAAGATTTTAGTATTATTTAATATTAGTGCTGTAGCAAAATTCAAAAAACGGTGAAAATTCAGTGAATTTGTGAATTCACATTTTTTTTCGACATTTTTCTTGATATATCCATGCACATTAAGAACACAGCTTTGATACGCTTAAAAAAGCATATTTCATATGAAATTGTTAAAGAAATAAACAATTTATATAAAAATTGCACTTATGGGCAGTTTAGATATATAATTTATATATAACATATATACAAATCCATAGACAAAGTGCAATAACTACAATGTTGTAGAAAATTACAGCAGAAATACTGACTTTTTGAAGGATAATAAGAATTCTTCTAAATGTTGTATTTTTATAATTTGATTGATTTTTTTTACTATTTCATTAATCTTTTATGAATAATAATTATTTTTAATATATGTGCTATTAAAATTTCAAATTTTGACTAATATATCTAAGTTATCTGAACGAAACATTTAGAAAATATCATACTTACATTGAAATAGCAAGTAGAGCATATTAATAGCAAGTTTCTTGGCTTTATATCTATCATCTATTGTTGTTTGATCAAACAAAATTCACTCTATTATATGGTGTCAATTAATTAAAACAATTTTTAATAGTTATTTATTTAGTGCGAATAAGTGCAAACTCATAAATGAATAACTTAATAGTAGAAATGAATTATCTGATATAAATCTCACATTTTGTCCATCAGAAATACTTTAATTGCATACGCATAACTATTAGTAATACGTCTGGAGTGTCAATTAATAACAATCCCACAACAAGTAAAATTCAGATTTTTATTAAACTTATTTTTTCCTAAAAGTTTTTCTCAAATTACTATATATACATATGTGGATAAAATAATAGTAATATTGTAAAAAATTAGATAATTTTTTTTATTTGAGAACCTCTCAAAAGTTCATTCAATTTATCAATTGTTTCAGTTTGATGTATATTCATTTCTGGAGCCTAAAACTTTAGCAATCATGACAATATCATATTCTCTTTCTAACTACGCAATGTAAGGGTATCCTTAAGAGAAAAAAAAATACTATGTGAACTTGGAAAAAAAACTATGCCAACTTTGGCAAAGGTACCGACACTCTCTCCCAACCAAAATTTTGGCCTAAAACTCCAGATACGGACTATCCATATTATGTATATGTGGAATACATAGTTTGGAGAAAATCGGTCAATACTATCTTGAGTTATATTATCATACAGAATTATCGTGAAAAATCTCTTAAATGCCACTGCAAAATAATCAAGTGCAAGTATTATATCAGTTTTATATCATAAAACGAATTGTATATCAATACAATGTCCACAATTTGATTCAATTTACAATATTGGTATAAGGTTGAAGCTTACTTTATCACGCACGTAGTACTAACAAGTTCGGGTATCTCATGTACCAACTACAATTTTAACATTGCGTGTTAAAACTTCTAATATGAAATTAAATAGACTAAAAACCTGTTTTATACTCTTTTATCGATGTATTTTACTGATTTATCTCATGGTTGTAAACATTGTAATACATTTGTTTTACAATTACACATAATTTGGTTTGATATTTGTGATCAAATCTATATTTTAAAAATAATGGTACTATTAATCATATTATATGATATGAAACAAAATTAAGATACTCATTCTGTTCAATGTCAGAGTTGAAAATTCAAAAAAAAAATATATATATATATAATATTTGAATTTTCATATGAAAAAATAGATTTTGAATATTTTTTGGAAAACCGATTTGCTTTATTATTATCCAAACTTTGAAGTTCAATCATTTTGAAGTGGAAAAACACATTTTTTTTGATTCTGATATTAATTTTTTTTATTCTTCAACTTAAAGTTCACAAAATCTCAGCCATGATGATAAAAATATGCACTATACAAATTTCATGTTAATTCAACAAGTTAAAAAAAATATACATCTAAGTGCATTCGTAAATGTTTCGTAATCTATAGATTGCGTACATTAGTGTTATGAAAAATTAGGAATTATGAGATATTCAAATTAGAATATATGAAGAGCCTTGTAAAGAAAATATTCTCATGGCAATGATATATATATTGAATAAAGTTTGAAAAAAGGCAAATAATTATTTTTTTGTATAAATAACAAATATTTTAAAAATTAAAAATATATATATACAAATAATATATAAAACAACAAAAAATTAAATAGATCTAATAATTTCCAAAACATTATCAGTTCTTGGTAAAACAATGTGTATCTCACTTTGTTGTCTGATCTGCAGAAGTCTTCTGAAATTGAAAACAAGTTTATCTGACTTGTATTCTTCAATCACAGGCAAATCTTCATTTTCTGTTTCTACGGCTGATTCTGATTCAGGTGAATCACTTTGTTCCCTTGGAATGTCAGAGCTAGACGCATCATCAATGAATTTACTCATCTTCTTCTCTTCATTTTGGTCAGAACTCTGCAACAAAATTGGTAAATCAGATTCTTTTTCTTGTTTAATTTGTCTGATTTTCTTCGACAAATGTGATTCTTCAGTTTCACTCGTCATTCCTGTTGTTGACGGTGTTTCTCTATTGAACTTCTTGCACTTGTCTGCGTTGGGAAGTTTCGAAATTAAAGAGATAATCTTTGGTGCAGCAAAGCCGAAACTTTCTGGTCCAGAAACACTCACAGAATGAGATTTGAAACCGAGAATTGATCTCTTTCTCTCGATGTCTTTGATAGCAGCACTCCAAGGACTCGTAGGCTTAGGACCTTCCCAGAAATACTCTGGATTATCTTTCAATTCGACCCTGAACAACGGCATCTCTCCCCCGTCTAAAATCAATGATCTGTACCACGCTTTTTCGTTTGGATTTTCGATACTCGCGTAGAGTCTTTCAGAAACAAAACCAATACAATAAATATATCTCTGTGTGTGGTAATTCTCTCGAGTATAATCTACAGTACCTAAACTAATAACTCTTAATGTTGAATTCAAAATAATCGGAAAAGTGACTTCATCTGAATTTTCTTCGGTTTTTTCTTCACTTAAATTACTATTATTATTTGATATTTGATTCGAAGATGTTCTTTTAAGAGCAGTTTTATTTATTACCTTTGTGAAATGCAATATCTTTTTAAGCTCTTTTTGCAAAGGTCTCACTTTTGTAACACCTGGTAAATTGTTGTTTACAATGTCACTTTTTGCAGCATCTTCGTAACCCAACTCCAAAACTGTTTGGACTATTTCTCTTTGTGTCTGGTTTATTAGTGCGTTCTGGTCGAGAACTTCTTTCAAATCAATCATCAAAGTAATGGAATTATATATTCTTCGTGCGGTTTTGTCATTGATTTTATCTGACATAAAAAGTGACTCTGTGTCAGAACCGTCAACAAATTTGAAACAGTAGTCAATTATTTGTTCGCAGTACTTCATTACTTCTTCTCTCGTGTGCTTGGAATTCGTCTTGGAAAGAACTAAATCCGGATTTACAAAACCGTTTCTGTCAATTAATTTTATTAGTTCTTTGTGCTCTTCCAAACTGAAACTGTCTGAATATGATTTCAATGCTGTTTTCCGCCCTTTCTTTTCCAAAGCGGTTTTGACGGTTTCATTTGTTATTTTGTCAAGTTTTGAAGCTACTTTATCTATAGCAGTCATTATAGCGTTGAATCTCTCTGTCGGATTGACAGAATCATCCATATCTAAGTCAGAAGAAGTCACTTCACCTAAACCTTTTTCGTAAGTCAATTTCATGAGTAACCTGTCTTTCTCTGGCGTCCAGTTGTCTCCGTATTTTGGTGGCAGGTTTGGAATGGCGATGTCCTCGTCTTTGTCAGCTGTTTTCAGCAGTCTTCCGTTCAATTCTATGAATTTGATTCGTTTTAGACGTAATTTGGCACTTTTTGACTTAAATTCATCAGAGAACTTTTCTTCGTATGGAGATTCGCCCTCAATAAATTCGTTTATTATTGGCGTTTTGGAGGTATCGTAGCCAGTACTCAGCTTCATCCATTTCATCGTAACTCTGCACACAGCTGTCAAATCATCTATTGGTGTAATGGGCCTGGAATAATTTGTTTGTGTCGGAAGACTCGAATTTGACGGTTGCGGTTGTTGTAAAGAAGGTGAAGTGACATTATTTTGTTGTTGTTGGCTATTCTGAGTATTTTGTTGAGTGTAAGGCGAAGTGACCACATTATTATTGGTCGGTTGAGATGGGAAAGGTGAAGTGGCCACATTTCCATTGAAATTCTGATTTTGAGGGAAATTTTGAGGAATTTGGGGATTTTGAGGGAAAGATGGCTGTTTATTGTACTGCTGACTGTACTGGTCGCTGTTCTGCTGCATCTTCTGCTGCCGTTGGAGCTGTTTCATCTGTTGCTGCCTCAATTTACTCAAATGTTGCATCTGATACGCGAACATCTGCATTTGTTGTGGCGCGTACTGGTACTGGCCGTTCATAAACATCGATTGCTGTGGGTATTGGCCGTTCTTCATCATTAATAACGAAGGAACCATCTGATTATTACTCAAATTTTTGTTTTTACGCTTCTTCTTAGCTCCAGAGAAGTTTTCTACGTTCATTGGAATCATTTGCTGTGGAGGAGGAGGCGGAATTGCCGACATTTGCTGCATTTGCTGTTCTTGAAGGAGTTGTTGTTGCTGCTGCTGTTGGATGATCTCTTGTGACTTGTTGTATATGTTTTCTATCTTAGTAAGTATCGTTTCCCAGAAATAATCTGTAGAAATATTTGGATCATCAAAATTAAGCAGAGATTTGTTGATCATGAACATCGGAGATGTACCAGCATTCAATGATCCTCGATGAATTTCAGAATGCATCAAGATTTCTTCAATTGAATTTTGATTATTGAAATTTCGAGTGAAAGTATCAACAGCTATTGCTGCGCAAAGCTTGTATAAGGTGTTCTGGCTTTTGGGATTCGATCCATATGTCAATGCTTCGATCGAATACTTAGTAATTAGTCTGTAAATCGAAACTTCGTTTGTAGGATCGGGAATTCTGATGTCGTTGATCAGTTTGATGTCATCCATCGTTTGTGGATCCCTTTGTGACAATGTATCGTATAAAATAAAGTGGTTTGAGCGTAATAAATTTTTCAGATTCGAAATTAGTTCATTTCTGCGGACAACAGCTATCTTTAAGACAATAATAATTTGTGGCTGTACTACTGTATCTAATGGCTTGTCTTTCTCTATGGAAATCGCGCTTAATCCCTTATTTATGAAAAATTTAAGGAGAAAATCTCGAAGTTGAGGGTAAAACACGATGATTACGACTGGAAATTGACAAGTGTTCTTTACGAAATCAACAATTTTGTCTGTAATTTTTAATTTGGCGGAAGATGAAATTAAAGCGTTTAAATCTACATCTTTTGTACGTAAACTTATGTTATTATTCTTCATGTATCTTGTAATGATTGTTTCTGTATCATAAGTGATTGCAGGATGGTTGCAAACGTTGTGTAAAGTTGTTGAAAGATTATTAAAGATTGTATTCTCGTTTGACTTCTTTATTGACTTTATATTGTCTTTGTTCTGTAAGAATGAGTCGAAATAGTAGTAATATTGCTCGTATTCCATGTTACATTCGATAAGATATTCTGTGAATGGATTATCGTACATTTTATTGATCGCTTCTGATTTAATTGTAATATTATCCGTATGCATAGGGTCAGTAAGGAATTCTGAGTACATTTTTCGGTGATAATCATCGAATTGACCGTTTACAATGAAAATTTTGCATTGTGATTGAATTGCTTTGTCTTGTACGACATTGGCGATGTTGGGTCTGATACTTGGCGAGCTGTCATCAAGAATAACCAAGTTCCATTTGAATGATAAGCAAAAAATGTTAGTATCGAACGTAGTAAGTATGATTTGGTATTTAAGATTAGGCATATTTGGATTCCGAAGTATGGATTTTTGGATTTGAACTAATTCTTGTTCTGTACCTACAAATTTGATGTAATCGATATGAAGATCCGGGATGAATTGCTCCCATAGTGATACGTAATCGATTGTAGTAACAATTAAGTACCTGCCGTAGCCTGGTTGAGGTCTTGCCGTAGTTCCAATGAAATTAATGAAAGGAGCGCGTGATTCTTGTGGTGAATTAGTAATATAAATTACGCTGCTGTTGTCTTGTAGTATCCGCGCTATTCCATCCCTTAATCTGTTCATTCTTTCGATCTGAAACAGATCTGTTTCGCCATGATTCATCATATCTGATTGTGCGTACGGGCTGTTTGCAATGGAGGTGGTATTTTTGGATTGAACAGCATCTTGCCTGAGATAATCATTAATCAGTTTATCATTTTTAAGGGAATCACGGGTTTCCCATGTAGCATCAGCAATAGGTAAATTTTTCCACATTACATGGTATTTGTCATTTTCAACTCCTATTATCTTTACTGGGATATTGAAATCAGGATTGTAGTATGGCGCTGCGGGTGGAGTATATTGATGTAATTTCAGATATTTGTCAACTGTAGTTTTATTTACCCCGGAAGTAGGATAATCTATCCATTTTGAATCTTTGTATGACTCTTTATTCATTTTAACAAAGAATTTATATTCTCCTGATGGGCTAACTGTATGTGTGTGAACAACATCAATTGTTTCTTCATTAGAAGAGTAAAAATCTTCAAATTGCTCCATCCCGAAAGGAAAAGAATCAAGAAGAGTGTCAATATTTTGATCATCGTCAGAGCCTTGTCTTGAGCTCCTACTGTTGTTTTCGTCAACAGTATTTGACATCAAGTGGAAAGAGCGGGATTAAAAAAAAATTTGAATGGTTTTGTAAATTGTTGAACGTTTAAATAGCGCATGCTGCCATGAAGTTTTCAAACTTGTTAAAAATATGAGAATCAAAAATGTGATTAAAAGGAATAACTAATTAAATTTGATGTAATAGTTCTATCGGCGTTATTCATTAATGCAATTGAGATGAAGATAATGAGGTAATTAATATGGACTTCGATTAATTAGACAGAATGTAAATTTGTTTAGAAAGACAATTAATTGTGAACTTAGTTTAAAAATTCGGTGTTAAATTAATAAGAATTGTAATAATAAAATTAAATAAACATGAGTGAAAAATTGATTTTGAATAATTGAGAGGAAATTTTGAATGAAAAAGTGTCATGTATTTAAAAAGATTATAAACTTCATATTAATGTATGATTTTCATTTGTGTCAATATGATCAACGTGCTTTTTAAAAAAACAGAAAAATTTGAATTGTCTCAAGTGCTTTATATAAAAAAATTGTTGAAAAATAATTGATATTTATTATTAGGATTATTCCAGCAATAACGTTCGATCTTACATATCATTCAAAATTTGAGACTAGAATGAAAATCTATCGATCAATTAACTGATGTAAGCACATTAAATTCTAGGCTTTCAATTTTTATTCTTGATTTTTCAATGATGTATAAAATTTTTATGAACTTTCAAAAATCATTTTAATTAAATAAGAAAAAAACTTCATTAAATTAGACTCATATGTGAGGAATATAGTTTTTATAATTAAAATGCTTATTTACTTCATTTTTTAATAGTTTTTCAAAAAAACCTTCCAAACTCAGCAAATTAATCAAACAAAGATTAATACTAGCTATGTCGTATCTTAATCTATAGTTTTCTAATAAATTTGCCTATAATAGAAATATTTCAATCAAAAGTATTTGTCAATCTATTTGGTGACTTGAGTAGCAACTGGCTGTATTGATGGTTGCATAAATTTCTTTGCTTTTTATGATTTTATTTACATCTTTTTTTATTAAAATTAGGTATTCCAAAGCTCATAGGCAAATATCAATTTGGTTTTCTATCTTGAGTGTTTATCGTTCATTACATTCTCTTAAGACTTTATTAACTCTTTGAAAGAAATCAAAAATCGAATTTTCTTCGATCATTTCAAAGATGTGATTATAAAACTATAATAAACATGTGTACTGCATTATTAAAATACCCTTTTTATTCAAAATTCTGAAATGATTTGCTCAAATTTTCGGCGATTAATTTTGATTTAAAAAATCGAAGAACTTTTTTTTTCTAATGTTTTTTTCCTTTCTATTTGCCTTAAGATACGATGCTGATTTTTCTCCAGGTGAATATACTATTCAACTAGATGATCAGGGCTTCACTGATACTAATTTTTCATTTTTAGCAGTTGATAATCAAAACATCGAAATTACAAGTATCTACACAAACTATTCACTATCCGAAGATACGACATTTGAAATACCCAAGCAAATTGAATTTAATGATATTAACGTTCCTGTTACAAAAATTAGAAAATTTTCATTATCACTTTGTGGAATTGCCAACATTATTCTTCCAGAAACAATAACAACAGCAGAAGAAGCATGGCTTGCTTCACGTTTTATTCGAATGATTGATGCATCTAAAATAAATGTAACTAATCCACCAAAATATTTCTTTGCAAATATAATGAACGCAACCGAAATTAAGATACCTACTAATATAATTGAATTAAAAGTTGGTGCTTTTGCTTTTGACTATAATTTAACAACAATTAACATAAATTATGGCATAATTATGAACAAAACATCAAGTGGATTCTACAATTGTTCAAGTCTAGTTTCGATCGACCTTTCAAAAGTGTTAATGAATAAAATTCCTGATCAATTGTTTAAAAACTGCGCTAATCTTCAATCAGTAATATTTCCAAACTATACATCATTTGGTGCTTATGTTTTTTCTAATTCTTTTATTTCAGATTTTCCACTTTACGATAACGTTGAATATGCTGAAGGCTGTTTTGGAGAAATGCTCTCTACGCATCCTATATCTGCTCCTGATGGTATATTCTTCAATAATTCCATTCCGCAAGCCGCATTTGATTCATGTCTTTTCATGGAATCGGCTGTTCTTAGAGAAGGCCTCATAAGAATACCAAGATTCTTATTTTGGAATTGTACATCACTTATTTCTATTGTTTTTCCCTCGACAATTTATAATGTTGCTGAAAAAGCATTTTATTTTGTTCCAATGCCTGTTTTAAACTTTTATCACACCAATTTAACAAATCTAGATGGATATGCATTCTCTGGTTTCCATGGAGAAGAAGTTATTCTTCCAGATAAAAATTTTAATTTTCCAAATGGTCTGTTTTCTATGTCAACGATAACTAGATTCAATTTCAGTGCAAGGCTTAATAACGTTGGTGACTATTTCTTTAACTCTACTAACTTAACAATTGCAAATATTTCTTGTTTAACTTACTCCTCCATAGGATCGTATTGTTTCCATAGATGTCTGTATCTAGAAGAAGTATATCTCCCAGATATCGATTTGTTCTGCGGAAATTCAGCTTTCGCTTATTCTCCAAACCTGAAATATCTGAAATTTACAAAAAGAGCATCGTTTAGTTACAATTGCATGGATCATTGCACATCATTAGAGTATGTAATGTGGGGTAGTTGTAGTTCTATTAACAATGCAGTTTGTTATTGCAATTATAATATGAGATATTTCGGACCAACAGTTGAAGATGTTACGAAAGTTACTCCTCAGGTTGACCTCCATAATTTCACAACATACGAGTTCGGAGCTTTGTCTTTTTCCAACTTATATTTAATAGAATATGTTTATATAGGTCCTGGATTCAGTTACATTGGTGATGCTTCATTTAGAAATGATACAAGTTTAATTACAGTAGATATGGTCGATTGTATTACAAGTACAGTTTCATATGAATCATTTATGAACTGTACACAGCTTACTAATGTATATTTACCAAAAGATTTAAGATATATAAGACAAGGAGCTTTCGTTGGAACCCCAGAACTTAATATTTTCTACTGTGGAACTACTTCAATTACAAATACAGATGGATTTAGTCCAGGAGTTATCATCCATTACTACGGACTAAATAAGCATGTATTATTCAATGGTATGGAGCCAATGTATCCAGGAAAATGCTGGAGAGCGTGGGATAGTCCTCCATATCCACCTTTTCCAACAAAAACACCAGATGTTCCGTATTTCATCCCGAAGTACACGAATGCTTTGATCACTCCCGAGCCAGAAAAAGTACTTCCTGCCCAAACTTACGTTGAAGATCAGAAACCGAATGAATATGGACCAGAGTTCTTTAAAGGAAGGAAATCTGCACTTTTTGCAACTGCTTTATCTATTTCTATTGTTTTTATTGTTTTGATTGTCATTATTTTATTTTTCATTTTTTTTGGCCTATGGAGTCGATTCAGGAGAGTCGACTATTACACAGGAGATTCGATGTAGATCCCGTGTCTATACATAATCCAAGTATGAGCGCTGAAATTGACTATGATAACTATGTGAATCAGCCAAAGTCACTTACCAGTCTTGTACAGTAATTTATGCATACGTCATATTGTAAATATGACTTCTATCCTCTATTTTGTTATTCGAAATTTATTAAAAAAATTTCATGTTAGTTTTTAGATACTTTCATATTGTTTTATATCAATATATAACTTTTAATGTCGAATCATAATGTTAGAATTGCATTAATATTATGATATTATAAAATCTGAAAAGAAATTATTTAAAGTGATCAAAATTGTACAATAAAGATATGATACAACGACTATAAAAATTGTTTACTATCGAATGAAAGTGAAAACTAGCATATTAGCCAATGGTTTTGGAAATCATTTCTAGTATTACAAGGTTTAAACCATAGTTTTGGAAATCGTTTGTCATATAATTTGTTCATAGGACTAAATTTGCTCAAATAATAGATGAGAACAGTTGAAAGTGAGTAGTCAATAATTCTGCTAATCAAAAACTTTACATGGCAATTATTTTGACTTATCAATTTTAATTGAGAAAATCATAGAATTTAAATATATCAAAGAATATAACCTCCATGTTATGGTAGTAATAATTCTAGTTTTTTCTTTCCTGAGTGGTGAATAATTTTGAATGCTAACCGATATTAATCAATTCAAAAACGTGCGTTGTGAATTTTGAAAATTTCAAATCAATGTTTCCTGTGCGAGCGCCTATTGTTCCAAAATATGGAATGATAGTGCACCCACCTAGAAGGAAAGTTCAAGTCAACAATCCACCATTACCACCTTTGAATCCAATGATTACAATTCCAATTACGAAACCAGTTAAATCTGCTCGTGTTCCTAAGATGAAAGAAAAGCTTCCGGAGCAAATAATATTCACAGGACGCATCAACCCTCTAGAGGCATTATCAAAATATCCGTTTTTATTAACTGATCGAGAACATTCCGAAATTTTGCATTATGATGATATCTATTATATTCGATTAGCACCACCCCACAACACACCGCAACCGAAATCAACACCTAATTACTTTCATTTTGTTCCAAATGACCACATAGCTTACAGATATCAACAATTAGAGGTATTAGGCAAAGGTTCATTCGGAACAGTTATTAAATGTCTTGACCACAAAACGAAAGAACTTGTTGCAATTAAGTTTTTAAGAGATACCAAGAAAGTTCACGATGAAATTTTGTTTGAGAACAAAATCATTTCAAGACTACAAGATGGCGAAAACTCTTCAACATCAGGAATCATACGATACATAGAATCCTTTTCTTTTCGAGAATTCTTTTGTATTGTAATGGAATTACTCTGGAAAGACACATATACAGTTCTTGAAGCCAGGCATTTTGTTGGCTATAGTAAGAATATCATCAAAATGGTAGCTTATCAATCTGCAAAAGCCCTTGATTTTATGCATAAACATAATATTGTCCATTGTGACATAAAACCCGAAAATATTATGTTTATAACCGAACAGAAAAAGAATATTAAGATCATTGACTTCGGTTGCAGCTGTTTTTCCGGAGAAATTATGTTTACATATATCCAAAGTCGATTTTACCGAGCTCCGGAAGTTGTCCTTGGCATTGAGTACGATAGAGAAATCGATATTTGGTCGCTTGGCTGTGTTCTTTGCGAATTAGTCACAGGAAGACCTTTATTTGACGCGGATACCCAGATTGATCTCCTGGCCATGATAATAGAGACCATCGGGGAACCGCCAAAATCGATGCTGGATCGAGGTTCCTACACAAAGAAATTTTTTGATGGAAGGAACTTGAAGATACAGTACAATAAAGATGTAAGAATCCCTGGACCACCTAAATCAAGGTCATTGGAAGCTGAATTAAATGTTTCTGACGCTCAATTTATTGATTTGATTCTTGGATGCTTGAAATGGGAGCCATCTGAAAGATATACCGCAGAAGAATTAATGAACCATCCATTTTTAGCCGATTATAGATCCGGCTTATAAAATATTATTTGTTTTGTTTGAATTATGCTTGTAAAGCATTAGTATTTAATATTTTTCTATTTTTTCGAATGGATATTATAAAACTTCATAAATTAGTCTAATTAAGAAATCAATAAAATTATCCATCAGATAATTTCTTAAATTTTACGACTCATGAACCTTTGAGCGTAATAAAAAGATAATATGTGTTGACTAAAGTTACTTACAAGCTTTAATTTCAGCATAATGTTTTAATCATACTGCGACTAAAATCGAAACACTCTAATCGAGCGAAAATACATCATAAAAATACTATCCTTCAAGTGCCTGTGCATATTTTTTGATATAACTTCTGAAAGGTTGATTTCTAATTCATTGTCAAATTCGCAACGTCGATTTTTGCTAATTTTTGTGCTAATTTGTTACCTGATCATTTGTAAATAATCGCACTAAAGTTTTCGTTTTTCACCGGAAGTTGGCAATTTTCTAAGTGATATAAAAAATGTTTGGAAAGAAAAAGGTAGATCCAAAGGAGCAAGCAAAGGCCTGGAAATCAGATTTAAGAGGTCAGGTTCGTGAGCTCAACAAGCAAATGCGTCATATTGAGATGGAAGAAACAAAAATCCAAAATAAAGTAAAAACAATGATGAAGCAAGGCCATGGAGACATGGTTGAACCACTTGTCAAGGAGCTCGTTCAGTCAAAGAAAGCAAAATCTAAAATTCTTAAGACAAGAACTCAATTAGAGTCAATCGAAAGACAAATTGACCTTCAGATGGCTCAGGTTAAAGTTTGCGGTGCATTCTCCAAATCTGCCGAAGTTACACATGCTTTGAACTCTCTCGTCAGGCTCCCAGAGCTTAACGCTACAATGATGAAACTTCAAGGTGAAATGCAAAAGGCTGGTATGATCGAAGAACAGATGGATTCTACAATGGAAGCTGTCCAGGAAGATGACGAAGATCCAGAACTTGCCACACGTATTGCCTTCAACCAGATCGCTCAGGAAATCAACGGACAGGCCGGAACTACAAAGGTTCCACTCAAGCAGATCGATCCAGAGGAACTTGAGGCAGAACCAGAGGTTGCTGCTATGATGGCGAAATAAATATATTTTTTTTAAAAAAAATGCTACATGTATATTTCTAACTATGACAACTCCTTTTAAGTTGATTATAATTTGCTTATTTTTTTCTGAATTAGGAAAAGAAATTGAAATTTCTTGTCAATATTCGGCTTAGCAAAAGTTACTGTAGCACTTCCAATAGGCACTTAATGTAAGGTATCTGACTATGGTGGATATATGTTAAGAAACGTCCCTCGAGCTAATGATTTTTCAGTATATCATAATTTGTAAATCTGAAGCTTCCACCTTATATTATATATATTGGTGATCTCTTAAAAATGGAACCATCACAAAGCATATTAACTAGGTGAATAAAGAATGAAATACTATACATATTAAATACTATACATATGGATATTCATCCTATTATAGGCCATGAATATATTTGGGTTTGGAGTAGTTAAATTTGATAATTTCCAAAACTTTTAAATTTCAATATTACTGTGCGCGAATACATTTCAATGAAAGTAAAAATGGAATAAATTTGTTATTGCCAAGTGAGTTTCCCTTTTCCTGAGGTGATAAAATTAGTGGAAAAAAAATCAAATGAGTGAAAACATCATCCTCGACACAGACTATATTGCGAACAACATTCAAATATATATCGATGAAGGAAACTTTATTGATATATTTGATGTGAACACCATTTCGGAAGTCTTATCAAAAACAGAACCTATTTCAACAAACTTCAGATTACTTATTTCACAATTTAAAGAAAATTGCAACTCTCTGAAACTATGTGCATGCGTTCAAAAGAGCAATATTAATATTCTTTCATTTGAAGATGCAATCAATGTTCTTCAAAGTTACAATCAGGCCCTCAAACTAAACTCACTTCCTACAGTAATAAGATATTTGGAAGAATACGGAAAAAATACTTCTAGAAATCAAAACAATCTCATATCTGAAAATCAAAAACTCCAGAATAAGATTTCAAACCTAGAAAAAGAAATTAATGAATCCAATAATAATTTTTTTGCTGAATTACGAATGTTATATTCTGAAAAATATTTGAACTCAGATTTTGGTGCGATTTACGATTTCCTTAAACAAGCTTCAGATAATGGTGATAAAATGAAAATGTCTATTTCATGTGAAATTGGTTTAGATAAAAAGAAAGATTCGGGTGAAAATACTCCACTTCTTTCAGCATGTTCTAAAGGAGATCTTCAATTAGTAAAATCTCTTATTGAAAAAGGTTGCGACAGAGATGCAATTAATAAAGATGAATGTAATTGTTTAATTATAGCATCATATAATGGACATCTTGAAATTGTAAAATATTTAATTGGAATTGGATTTGACAAGAATTGCCAATATAAACTAAATGGCTCTAAAGCAATTCATTTTGCATCACAAAATGGTCATCTTGAAGTTGTTAAATATCTTATTTCAATTGGAGCTAATCCAAAAGAAAAAGATAATGATGGATGGTCTCCAATTCATGCTGCATCACAAAATGGTCATCTTGAAGTTGTTAAATATTTAATTTCAATTGGAGCTGATACAAAAGAAAAAGATAATGATGGAGTAACTCCAATTCATGCTGCATCACAAAATGGTCATCTTGAAGTTGTTAAATATCTTAGTTCAATTGGAGCTAATCCAAAAGAAAAAAATAATAATGGATGGTCTCCAATTCATTTTGCCGCAAAGAAAGGGCAATTTGACGTTGTTGAATATTTAGTTTCAATTAATGTCAATCTTAATGATAAAAACGCACAGGGAAAAACTCCACTTGATTTAGCAAAAGAAAAACAAAATGAAAATGAAAATTACAAAAAGATTACGAATTTATTACGAAATAGAGGTTGAATAAAGATAAAATTCTTTTGCATTCAAAATTGGCAGGCCCTTTTTGCACTTTTAAATTTCTTTTCAAAAACGAAAAAAGAAACTAAAAAATGAATATGGTGACGTCTTTTTTCTTAACAAAACAAAATAAAGCAAAATTTGTTTAATAAAATAATTAAGATATTTTGAGGATAGGGTCCATGTTTGCATTGAATATTTGGTACCCTTTCGTTGGCAAAAGGAAAGAAAAGCGTAGGTAAGACTTTAATTAGTAAGATTATCCGCATTTGATGGCTTTGTATTACTCTCAATTCTGCTTAATTGGATCATCTATTGACTATAAAACAATTAAAAAGTGATTTAGACTTAGTTTGTAATTTTGATAAATAAAAAAATTTGTCCAAAAATTAAAACAATACAAAACATATTTAAATAAACAATACAATACAAAACAAATTAAACTTCCTCTTCGCAAATATCCTCTTCAACCATTTTGAAGTCTTCCACAGTCTCAAATTGGTTATCTTGGGAGTATTTGCCAAAATCTGGTTCCTTCTCTTCCTTCTGTGAACAAGTAAGGAGGGAGAAGCCAACAGAAATAAGAATAATAGCGTAAATATATAATTGACCAAATTTTGGTAATTTGATGAAGGATACGATTGGTCCTCTTAATGATAGAATAATTGTTGCAACAATGCAGCCAAATATTCCTATCAAGAGGTAAAAAATCAAATTGCCAAGCGCAGCAAAAATGGAAAATAAGGCCAAGTACATGATTACGCGAGGATTATTTTGTATAGCGTCTATATTTGATTGAAACATTCCAGAAGAGAATGATGAAGCGATAGATATGATAGATCCTACCAAATAAGAGACAGAAATGAGTTCTAATATAGGGATACCGTCAATCTTAAGCATCTTTTCGGCAAAGTTTGAGAATACAGCATCAAGGCATAACGTAAGCATGATTGCTGCAATTCCATTTCGATCGAACCTTGTTTTGCCGCTGAAATTGCCAATTGCAAGGGCCACCAGGCCGCAAACAATGAAGCACACTGAAACAACGGTCGGCGTAGGTGGAGATTGCTTCAATATCGCAATACTACCGACAATAACTGGGATTAAACGAACCGATTTGAAGAGAACTTGAGTCGAGGGACTGAGACTCATCGAAGCATAGTGTGAAAGAGATACGGCTAATGTTACGACAGTTGCGAAAATGCAATAAGTCAATAAAGCAACGCGTAATTTCTGTTGTCTTGTTAATAATCTGATAAGAGTTGGTATAGTGAGTATCACGTTGCCTATCAATTGCATGAATGTTAGGAATAGGCAGTCGGTGATCATAAATTTCTGAATGAGAACATCCCTGGAATAGTTTGAAACCTCAAAAGTTATAACTATTTCAATGGTGCAAAGTATGAGTAGAATCTGTGGATGTATAGTTGGAATCTTGAGACACTTTATCCCAAGTTCCATATAGTTGGATAAAAAAAAATATCCGAAAAGTGACAAAATCATGATTGAGAAATATTTTATTATATTACATGTATCATGTATTTTTCATTCTTATCGAATAAAGAAAATTTTGAATGCATTTTAATCGTCACGCTCGAACAAATGTTTACTTTTTAACTTATGATAATAAAATAGAATAATTAAGGAAAAGCTCGTTAATTTTATGAGAAGAACTTTTCAAAAGAAAAGTGACTCAATATTAAATCATCGACTCATTATGTGTAAAATTGTATACGCTATAAGTTGTAAAAAACAACAAACAAAACTTTTTGTGATTGATTTGCCGGTTTTTTCCAAATATTTTGAGATTGGAGTAGTTTCTAAATATAGTATTAGATTAATTTAAAATATTTGCATGAAATTGTAAAAATTAATCACCGCGGTATCGTAACTGATTTTTTCTTCCAAAATATTTTGAATAGTAAATTAAAAGAAATAGAAACTTTGTCTTGGGTTTGACCTTTTTTTAATAAAAGAATAACTTGTAAGTCATATTTGGGTGAAATTGTAAAAAGGCACAATAAATGAAAATTGTGTAAATTTGTCATTAAATATAATCTATGCACAGTGTGGATATGTCAGTTATTTTATTCCACTTATTATGAATCAACATTCAAAATCTGATAAAAATTAAACTCATTTAAATGAATCAAGAATAGAATACCTGTCATCAATTTGATGCACAAAATCATTACATCAATTGATATAACAATAATTGTAAAATATCTAAAATATTCAATAGAATTCAAATTATCTTATTCGATGAATATGCTGATGGTTGGTACTTTATTTTTGAAAAGTTTAACAGCAAACCAAGTAACAACTATTTTTTGCAGATTTGATTTCAGCTTATTTATTAGTTCTCGCTGGAAATTTCAAATATAAATAGTAAAAATATTAGGTTGTCCGTTAACAAAGCTCTTTTACTTGCAATGGATGATAAGTAGTATATGTTGAAGGGTTGGAGAGGTTATCGATTTTGTAATTTAATCGTCGTCGTTATCGATTTTGTAATTTAATCGTTATCGTCTTTTTCTAAACGTGCATTTTTACATTAAAAGCAATGCAACTCCAAAATTAATTGGTATTTAGACTTTAATTAGGTGCAGACAAACGAAATGCAGTCCAAATATTTTGGTGATATATGAATTACATAAATTTAGGGAAATTGAAATTATATCTTTTTAAATTTTTAGGAAAACAGATTTATAGAATTGTTTAAGTCATCAAAATAATGCAGACTTAGGTCAAATTTTCCAAATTTAATCATTTGCAAGACTTTCAAGCGACTTCAAAATGTCGAAATATAAGTCCAAAAATAAAATTACGATTACAGTCTATCCTCAATTATTATCACGCTAATTATTGAGTGACCCATGCGTTCGTATGTATGTAATACCTTTTAAAAAGGAGATGAGAGAGATAAACTACATTTACAATTTAAATCTGATGTATTTACTTGTTACATTTACAAATGTAAATGTTTCTCGTAATGTTTACATTTTGTAAGTATAACGAATAAAAATGACGCACTTTTTTTACAAAGTCAAATTATGCGATACAACTTTACTTGTTACATTTACAAATGTAAATGTTTCTCGTAATGTTTACATTTTGTAAGTATAACGAATAAAAATGACGCACTTTTTTTACAAAGTCAAATTATTGTTCGATTTTTGCAGCTTGTAAACGATTAATTGTATAAAGCAATTGATATTAGCACGACATAACTGAATAATTCTAATATTGAAATCAAAAGCCCTTAAAATATCATGATATTTTAATTTCATAACAAATCTAGGAGACTATTTGATGAAAACATATCCGATGTGGGTTTTGTTGTATTATATAACTTGTTATTGACTTCTTAGCTTTCCAAATTTTTTTCGATAATGAGAAAACGAATGAAAAATCAACATTTGGTCCATTTAAAATTTGATTTGTTTACATTTTTTTTACTTTTTGAATTTCAATTTATATTTTCCTCAAGAAATACTTTAGATTTTAAGAAACTAAATCATATAATCTACTAAGAAAATATATTAAATCCTATAATACTCAAAGTTTTGTGATAAATCCGATCTTTTTTATTTTACTTTTATTATGTTTTTGCAAACTTAAGGTCATCACTAGGTAAAACATAATACTCTTTGAAGTTAAGTATTTTCACAAAGAGAGGACCAACAATATCAAAAGATTGAATAAAGATTTGTATTATTTTATTTATTTTTAAGAACATGTTTAAGAACCCTCATTATCTCCACGAATATTGCATATTTTTCTATTCTAAGACCACCAAAATTACGTTTTAATATAGAAAATAACATATTTATGTGATGCTAAAGTCGAAGTCCTTAAATATTTTTGAAATATTTACAAAATATGCTCTTTCTATCATCGATACTTTAATACAGAGCAAATTTAGTAAATGTCATCACATTATTTTTTCATAAATCGTTTTCGAACTTTTGAAATATTTATTTTAAACCAGTTTTCTACATTTAATATGTGAATTATATCAAAAGTAGATGGGCGATACTTGTAAATCTATTTAAACTATTAGTTTGCTATTATTGAAGAACTTTATAATTTTTTTTTCTTATGTATGGAATTAAAGATAATTTTGCCGATTCCAACTGGTTTTTCTATATGAGTTAAATATGCCAAGTGAAATTGGACTTGCCAATATTGTAAATTGAAGTATGGACTATATATCGATTTTCATTGATTGATGAATAACTCGGAGTAATGTAATTGTTGATAATGAAAAATAGTTTTCAATTGCTGGTAAGGGCCAATGTATGTTCAATAGCTCCGAAAGCAAAAAATGCACGTTTAGAAAAAGACGATAACGATTAAATTACAAAATCGATAACGACGACGATTAAATTACAAAATCAATAATGACCCGAAGGGTTGTGTGACTTTTTTTGTAAACGTAAGAATTCATATAATATCGAGCGATTTTGTATCATTTTTTTTAACATATGAAGTAAAAAATGTATGATTCTTACGGTTTTTATTCTTACGTTTTTGAATAAATCAAGATTTAAAAAATTTTCAAAATTGTAAGACATTTACACTCAGCCCATACATAATGAAATAAAAAATAAAATATATTTATTTATAAATCATTAAAAAATTAACATTAATTTTAAAATAATTTATTTCATCTTTTATAAAAGAAGCTATATATAGATGATGTCAGATATTCCGCGATTAATTAAACATTGTTTAAATCCTGAATGGAATCAATGGAGTCATAATCAAAGACCTCATAAACGAGTAAAAGAAATTAGAAATAATTATTTTCATGAATAAAAGATTCACTACCATAATGAAATAAAAAATAAAAAAATAAAAAAATTTTTAAAAAATAAACTTTAAAAATTATGTCTCAGAATCAACATTGAACTTTAAGAAACTAATGATTATTTGAATTTATGAAATCAATTATTTGATTTATTCTTTCTTCAATCTCTTCTATTCTTTTTGTTAAATCATCAATTTTCATTAATGAGGTGATTCTTGATTGAGGAATAGATTTCAAACTAACCACCCCCTTTATTTTTGAAATTTTGAATCCATCAACTTTAAACATTTTATTCAATTTACATGTTGTCAATTCTTCAAATAATTTTTTATTATTAGCATAATAGTCATTAAATTCTTCAACAGATGAAAAAATTTTTATTTCAGTAATTGGTTTAACAACGTTTATTTTTTGTTGAACATTTTCACTTTCATTTATTTCTTCCTCCTCTGTTTCATTTATTTTTAAAATTGGTTTCATTTATCATTAAATAAAAATTAGAATATAAGTGATGAAATATATTTTTTAATTAATATTAAATCAGAAATGGCGGCAGGATTCTTTAAAAAATTATGGGATGGAATTAAGAAAGCTGCAGGTTGGGTTCATAAAAATATTATTAAACCCGTTGCAAACTTTTTGGCACCAGTAGCGAAAACGGCAGGAACTATCATAGGTGGAGTATTAGGTACTAAAGCAGGTAATCCGGCGATGGGAGCACAAGCAGGTAACGCAGTTGGTGGAATTGCTGAAGGAATACTTAATAAAATAGGAGGTAGATAGTGGAAAAATAAATAAATATTATTTTTATCTTAGTATCGGTTGAAGTCTTTGATAAACTTTTTCTCCTTTATTTAATATTTCTCTTATTGGGGCGGCTTTTGGTGTTATTGATTCAGCAACGTCACTAATTGCTTCTTTATTCTTAAATATCCAATTTGCTCCTTTCTTCATTGTTTCCCAAACTTTATGCGCTCCTCTTTTTACTTTATCCCACAGTTTCTTAAATATACCTGCAGCCATAGTTGATTATTTCATTAAAATTAAAAATTCATTTTCATCTTTTAATTTTGATTTTTTATTTATTAATAAATGACGACTAACTATTTGGTGCCAAACACTAAACCGATTAATGGAAATGTGTTTCATTCATTCGAAAAGATAAATGAAATATTCGCAAAGAATGACGGTAGAAGATATTATAGAGAACTTGAAAGTTCATGCTATGACTCTGATGCTCCATATTTTGATGATAAACAAACTCATTTAAGAATTACAAATCCAGCTCATGATGTGAATCAATTAGGTGACACATATATTAAACGCAAAGTTAAAGCAACTCTAGTTTCAAATAAAGCTTTCACATGCGATACCGCTTTTAAATGCATGCGTTTATTCGTTGGTTACAAATCATCAAATCAAAGCTTTAAACAATTAGAAGTAGAAACTGAAAGAGGTGATGCCGGTTATCTTCAAATGGATTGCGCCCGTGAATCTTTCGCATTTGCAACATATAAACCAAAATCAGAAAGGAAAGTTAAAAAGTTTGTTCATTCGTTATATAATAATGTTCAAAAATATGATAACTCAGTATGTGGTAAATATATTGACCCTTCAGAAGTTTTCAAGAAAGCAAATGAAGAAGTTGATGTCACTTTTGATATGATTATTCCGGTAAATGATTTGTTAGCATTTCAGGCGTTCGATGATTATCCTAAATCATTTGGTGAAATCATTCTTAAATATTATGTTTTCAGGGATACTTTAGTATTTTGTCAGGTTGACCCGTTAAGAGTTGCTGATTTACAAAATTACGTTTATGAAAAGATAACTGATGAAAATTATGAAAAGATTATGAATCATGTTTATAAATATGATCGCAAATTCCAACAAATCGGACTTCCTGCCAAATTAATTACAAGCTTAGCCGCTACATCTGCTGACGCAACAGTTGATGACGTTATTATTTCATGCACAAAGATGGAAGTTTTAGAGGATAAATGCATTACACCAGGATACGGTTTAATTGAAGAATCAGTTAAAGCAATACCACGTTTATTCAGTAAGGAAGATCCATTCATGATTCCAGCTCAACATATTGACGTTCGTTCACTAAATGGAGGTTGCATCACTCCTGAAGGTATCAGCTCAGATTTCTCATACGCTCTTCATAATGTTACAGATGTTGTGTTAACATTTCCGAAGAATGCAATGCAAAGAACAGTTTTAGAAAATCCAATGCTTCGAGGTCTTCAGGTCACTATAGATTCCAGAAACTTCCCCGATCAAGCGATGACCACAGTGGGTGACATATTCTTTACACGTATGCTTCAAGCTTCTGATTTAGATGGAGTGAATGAATGCACAGAAGAATACGAGGACTCATTAACTAGACCACTGAATGAGATGATGGCACGCCATTAGCTAGAACATGGAAAGACCAAACTTCATTCTTATGCACTATTCCAGTTCAACGTGATGGAGCGGGTATATTCTTTGATGGATTAGAAACTTTCAACTCACAAGTTACAGTACAAGTGAAAGCTTATCCAATCATTCAGGGTGTAAAATGACACTTACTGTTCAAAGGTGACAAATCCTCCTCAGGTTTGGTTTACTAGGACTACATATTGGACATGGACACCGGATGAAGGTTTGAAATATCATCCAACAGGTACACCACCACAGTATAGAAGTTCATATGATGAAATATTGATGAATAGAAATGTTTAAAATTATAAATTTATTTTTGATTAAATGGATTTAAATTCATCCACCCCTTATGAAGAATTAGCAGGAGTATATAATACATACGTAGATGATATGATTAATGAAGCATTGAGTGATAATAGAAATGCTCTATCTAAGGAAAAATTAATGAAAATTCCATATTCTGAATGTTACTTAAATTCAATCACTGCAGCAATTGGTAAACAAAATAAAGGTAAAACATTAACGATATTAAAACAAATTATCATTATTGCTAACACTTCCCCCATTCACATGTGTTAATTTATATCAACCGTTCAGGTTCACCTTCAGATGATACATTTGAATCTTTAAAGCATTTAATCAAAATTCCAATTATTTATTTATCACAAGAAGAAGCAGAAGATTATTTAAAAAACTTTTTAATGTATAAAGAATTATATAATACAATCAAGAAGCAAGGATTAGAGGATAAAATTATTGATAAACAACGGGATGAATTATTTGAAACACTTTCTATTTCAAATTTTGATAGAGAATTTTTGCATTCACTCATTTTTCTAGATGATGCGTGAAATCAAAACTAATAACAAATGAGAAATCATATTTTAATCAGTTATTAACTCAATGTCGACACATTCAGTGTTCATTCTTCATGGCTGTTCAATACTTCAAAGCATTAAGCACAAACATTAAATCAAATCTATCAACCCTTTTCATTTTCAGTGGGTTTAGTCGTCAACAGTTGAACGTTATGCTTTATCAAGTGAATTTACCAATGAGCATTAATGAACTTTACACACAATATCAGCAATTAGGTGAACATGGAAAAATAATAGTTGATTTAAATAAAGGAGTGTTAAATTTGATTAACTTTTTATAATTAATTTTTATTTTTTATTTATAATTAAACATGACAGAAATGGCAAATCTTCTACAGGTTCCATTAAAACAAGGGACAAACAAAAAGGGTGCATATAATAGAACTATGAAAGTTCCTGATGGAATGAAAGAATTAGTTCATATTGTTGCTGGTCTTCAAAAAGATGTTAAACAAATGAGAAACGTTTTAACATTACCAGAAGCTCAAGCATATGCCAAACGTCATGGTCCAAATTGGGAAGCACACGAAGCAGACATTACGGGTCCAAATGGAAAACCTGATGGTATAAATGAAGTTTTCGTTACTGATGGTCAAGGTAATATTAAAGTCATAAATGGTTATAAATTAACTATGTCTGATTATCCTAAACGTAAAGTATATAATGAACGTTATCCTATGCAATTTGATGAAAATGGAAAAGCTGTTAAACAATACATTGGAGAAGGTGAAAATGGTCCAATTAATTCATACCGTCGTAATCCATATTCTTATTTCAATGAAGAATTAAATGCTATTGAAGAGGGACCGGATGGATTACCACGATATTCTAACCAGTTTGATGGTCAATATGCAAATATTAGACCTGAAATTTCAGCTAAGAAATTCTTTAAAGTTGCTTTATTCGATCCAGTTTTCGCAAATGTTAAAGATGAACTTAAACAGCAATTCCAACCAATTATAGTAGCAAGAATTGCATCAGGTGCTTTATCTCAAGCATTCAAAGATTTAATTAAGAAACCATTATATCAGCAACGAGGTTTAACTTATGATTTAGTTAAGGAATCAGATAAAAGAAAATTTGAGAAATCAGATGATTATAAGAATGCAATTAATGAATATATTCGGTCTATTAATTTCGATGAAAATGCTAAAAATCAACTTCATGAACAAATACAGGGAATAATAGATTCAAAAGTTCCAGCAAAATAAAAGTTTAAATATATTTTTTTTATTCGAATATAAATGAGAAGACGTTTCACTAGTCAAAAGAACACTAACGCAAAAGCAGAGATTACGGTTGGTTATAACGTAAATGATGATAAATCACGAATTATTCAAAATGTTAAAGTTAATGTTAGCCCTGAATTAACAAGGTCAGCAACTCAACCAAATTTATTAACTCGTGACTTACCGAAGAATGAAGAAAACCATGAGAATGGAGACCCAATCATTTTATCTGAACCCGGTAAAGAACCTGTTGAAATTCCCACTTATCCAACATATCCCCCACCTCTTTCATCAAACATCGAGAACCCATATAAAATAGACATTAATTCTGAATTAATGAAAATTTACCGTGATATAATAATTAATAATTATGATTCAATAATAAATTTAATTGATCAATCCGGTTTAATTATTTTACCTTATGAATCATTAATTCACATTATCGCCATTCTTTGTGATGTTCAAGATTCAGACGTTAAGATTCAATTTTTCATAGATGATGAGGTTTCATGCTGCGGAATAGTTGCAAAAATAAATCCTATAAAGGATATTAGCACAATTAAGATATCAAAGAACGGAACAACAACTGAACTTCATTTAACATATAATGATATTTATAATAAAATAGTTGATGAATATAAAATATCACTTGAAAAATTCTTTGTTAAGGCTATTTAATATTCAAGCATTAACATTATCGAATAATAATCCTTTGAATCATAATCAATAATAATTGACCTTTCACCAGTTTCTATCGTTTGTTTTATTTCTTTTTGTTCCCCACTATCCGGATCGGTCATTGTAATTGTTTTTGTTATAGTATCAGCTTTATCTTTAACTTCAATCTTTTTTCCATCGGGATATTTAAACCAAAATTCCAAAAATTCGATATTGTCAATCTGTTCATATTTTAATCTATCAATTACATTTTTAATACCATCTGAAAATCTTATGAAATGGTCATTATATGGGTTTGATTGAACTAAATTTGAATGAAGTGAAATATAACCTGTTGATGAATATGACATTGACTCATATTTTCTGAAAACACTAAAATTTATAACATGAATGAATTTCTTATTCGTTGAATTTATGAATTCTTGAGGTAATCTTATTCTAGTTTTATTTATCACTGGAAAATAACGCTTTACCATATTTTTAATCGTAATAAAAATGTCAATTATCAATATTATTTCGAATAATAACTGTGAATTAAATTTAACAGTTAGCGGAATTTATAATGTTACTCTCGTTCCTGTGAGTGGTAAATTTAATCCCATTCTTTTAGACCCTTCAGATTATATATCATTTATTAAAGATGACCATGAAAAAACGTATGATATGTATATAAATAATGTGATAGCGAAATGGGATATTAACATGATTTTAAGTTATTTAAATGAATCATTTATCGTATGGTATGAAGAAAATTTTAAATCAAAACCCGATAAACTTTTTGAACTTGATGAAATAAATAACCTTATTAAATTCCCGCTGAAAATTAAATTTTGTACTCCTCATCTTCGTTCATTGTTGGGGATATTAAATTTTGAAAAAGATGTTGGGGATGTTTTGTATTCTGACACTGGTTCCAATTTCATTTTAATCAAATGTGATAAAGTTAATACCCCAATGAGATTTTCACATCAAACATTAGACCCTAACTCTTACCCATCAATACAAAACATTTTATCCATCAACTTAAACACATTTTCTTTATCATATCCGTTTCAATTATCTGGGAATTCATTTATTCTTCATTCAAAAGATTTATCAAATATTAAATTTAGAATAACTGACCTATTTGATTGTGATTTAGAATTTATGAATGAAATATTATGGCAATTTCAAATAGAGAAAATAGCCGATGAGATAACAGATTAAATATTTATTTTTAAATCATAATAAATGATTAAACCACAGCAACCACAACAACTTAAGGCACAAAACACCCAGGTCCTTCAGACCATTACATACGCCACATATGCATATAATTCAAAGACGGCAGAACAAACGCAAAGGTTGAAATATGGAGATTTGGAGATAGTATTGAAAAATGACCATTTCGAATTCGTTTGCAAAGGTGGTGCAGTGATATCAAATATAAAAGAAATTTTATTTATGAATTCTAAAATTAAAGATATAACGGATGATATAACATCAATTCCACCAGAAGAACAGAGATATTACGCATTAAATGCATTTCCTAAAGTTTTGAAGATTGGAAGATTTAATTTAAATGAGGAATTCATAGAAGGTTTCCTAAATGACATAATGAAGAAGGTGGATAAGGAATATGTGGATAGTGAGTTAAATAAGAAGGCAAATTTGGTTTATGTTGATGAAAAAGATAATGAAATTAAAGAAAAGGTTGAATGGTATCATGAATGGACATTTGAGACTTTTAAAGTTAAAGCCGATACAGAATGGGTTTCAGGATGTTTAGATCTTAAAGCAGATAAAACATATGTTGATGAAAATTATGCAAAGAAGTCGGAAGTAAATGATGTGATTACAAGCATGAAAAATGAAATACTTCAAACATTATATCCTGTTGGTTCTATTTATACATCAATGAACTCAACAAATCCATCAGAAGTTTTAGGTTTTGGTATGTGGAAGCAGATTGTAGATAAATTCTTATACTGTGCTAGATATTCAAAGCAAACAGGAGGTTCGAAGAAAATTAAAGAAGCAAACCTTCCACCGCACACTCATACAGGAACTACAAACACAACAGGTAATCATTCACATTCAATAACAAAAAGAGGTTATACAAATCTTGCAGCGGGTTCGGATAGATGGGGAATGAATAGATATGATATCACAACTGACCCAGTAGATTCAAGCACAGGTATTTTCTGTGGAACCACAGGTAATCATTCACACACTTTCACAACAAATCCAACAGGCTCGGGTAAAGATTACATGCCACCATTTGTGACTGTATTCGCATGGTACCGCGTTCATTGAATGTGCTTGAGCCCAGACTTTTGGGTCAAGGCTTACCGAATGACCAAATATATTTTATGTCTGTAATTAATTAGGTAATGAAGTCTTACGTAGAGACAAGGATGGTTACATTAATGCAACAAAGATAGCATTAGAAGCGGCAGAAAAGAAGTTAAAAGCTTGGGGTTGTTTTGTACAAAAATATTGTGAGTAAATGAACTCATTATTTTTATTGAATTCACCAAAAATAATTTTTAGGGTAGATGGTTAGATCTAACCTCATTTCTAACCTCATTTCTAACCTCATGACATTTTGACAACAACACAGGAGGATTAATGAGGAAGGCACTTATGAAGCATTTTTGAAGAACTGAAGGTGTCACTACGTCACCATGTGTCACTCGGTTAATTAACTTCTCTGAAAAAATGAGACAACATGACATTTTGACAACACAGGAGGATTAATGAGGAAGGCACTTATGAAGCATTTTTGAAGAACTGAAGGTGTCACTACGTCACCATGTGTCACTCGGTTAATTAACTTCTCTGAAAAAATGAGACAACATGACATTTTGACAACACAGGAGGATTAATGAGGAAGGCAAAAATAAATTCCAATCATACTTTATACTGCCTCATTTACAGGTATTTCATCATCAGTAAATGAATCATCATTATCGTTTGGTTCAACCTGTTTATATAATCCTTTCATTTCTTCTTTCAAAACATAACACCATGTTTGTTTACCATCTATTCTTCTCTGTTTCTTATCACATTTATCCTTAATGCTCATTTGGAAATTCTTGTCTTTCATGTCTGATGGTTTGCAGAATAGAGCATTTTCACACGTCATACCTGCACACAATTCATCATAATGTGTATTTATCCATACATCTAAAGGATTTGTTGATAATTCAATTAAATCTTGTTTGGCTTCAGTCATCGGTATGATTCGTACATTAAATGATGAAAGGTCGTAATTGATAAAATATGTTAAAAGGTTATCATAAAATTCCTTTGTGCATGAATTCATCAAATTCTTGAAGTAATCAAATTGACCCTTGAATTTACCATTAACTCTTAAAACTACGTATATTCTGTCTCCAACTTCAATTTTGACAGGGTAGACGTTATTAGTTACGAAAATGAAGTTTGCAACATTCTGAGCAGTTCTTCTGGGTTGATTCTTTTCATTAATTCTAATCTCATTATCCGTAATAATTGATTTCAAAGCGTTGAAGTTTGCGAGTCTATCTTCACCTACATTCTTGAGTTCATTAAGTACAAGAAACATTTTATTCTCAACTACTGAATTGAAATTACCCGTTAGCTCACTTATTTCGGTAATGTTTTTACATGAATAACCAGCGAGAAGTTCAGAAATAATGTCTGTAAATCTGTTTTTACCTGTTCCCTGAAGTCCTTTCAAAATAATTGCTGTTTCATTCTTGATTCCGGGATGTTGAATCATTGATGCAATCCAGCCGAGAAGGTATTTATACACTTCATCGTTATTATCACAAATGGCTTCTTTAATGAAATTCATAAACATCTCAATTTTTGAGTAATCTGGTTTTTCGAGAACGTTGTATTTATAACCTTGAAACGTTGAGAAAACATCTGGAGAATCAGATTTAAAGCAAACACCCTTAACGGTTAATGAGGATAATTGATTTAATAGTACTTCCCATGCTGTTATTGTTTTACCTTCTTCTTTAAATAATTTAATCATTTTAAGTGACTCTTTCATGTTTGATTGAAGAACGAATGATATTTGATTCATTTTGTCGTGTATGTTGTAATCTTTCTGAATGAAGTATTTGTTTCCACAATCTACAAAACGGATTACACGTGATAAATCCTCAATTACTTCAGAATTGTTTTTATACTGATGATTTTCAGCCTTGCGTCTAATATCTGTTATCAAAAACGAGTCATCAAGTTTGATATCAAATGTTATTTTTGGCTTACGTAATAAAGGTAAAACATATTCATCATAATATTCCTTTTGATAAAGTTTTAGAATCTTCACTAAAACAAATGGCGAAGTCATTAAATGTGCATATCTACTACGTGCTTTTTCAAAATTACTTTTTGCATTTTCTGTTAAACTGCAGAAGTTATAAACGTTATTGTATGCTTCATTAATTAAATGATTAGGTAACGAATTAATTGCTTGAAACAGTGTGAATAATGTAACTTCTTTTTCTAAATTCATGTTTCCACCGTCATTATGTACTTCAAAATCACTGATGCCATCGACTATGCTCTGGGCAAGTTTATCGTCAATGTTTACATCTTTGTTTTCATTCATGATAGTCTTTATTTCTTCATTCTTCTGTTCAACTCTTACCTTAATATTCAAATCATTTAATATATCATTCACTGTTCTGGTTAATGTTGAATCATAACTTCCACGAATGAATGAGTATGTATTGATTGGTTCTGTTGCATTCTTGCGAACTCTTGAATCAGCCATAACTACTAATGAACGCTTTGAATCATCAATAGAAGTCATTATATCAATATCATAATCATTGCAAGAATAACATTTAATCATTCTGTTCGAGGTTGAATAGAAGAAATTAGTGTTGCAATAAATGTGAAGACCTCCTGAAGCGGTTTTAACGATAACATCTTTATCCGAAAGTTTTGATAGAATGTCTTTTCTAACTGTTTCTTTAAGTTCATCATTGTACGATTTATTGATATCAACATCTATAATAGTTAAATTTGAAATTTTATTTACTAATAAAGCTGTACCAGTTTTCCTTCCTCTTCCTCCATCATGTTTGAGGTAGTTATGTAAATCAATCTTGTTTTCATCAATTCTTTCGTTGAGGGTTTTAGTTTCTGCCACAACTAATTCCTCAGCTAATGAATCAATAACTTTTTCATCAGAAATGATAAAGTTGCTGTTGTTGTTTGTTGCTGTCATTTATATAGGAATAAAAAAATAAAAATAATTTTAAAACTAACTTTATTTTTGGACTACATCATATTTCCAGGACTGTTGTCAAAATGTCATGTTGTCTCATTTTTTCAGAGAAGTTAATTAACCGAGTGACACATGGTGACATAGTGCACCTTCAGTTCTTCAAAAATAATTAATTATGAATAACCTGAAACCATTAACGTAAACATTAACGTAAACATCATATTTCCAGGACTGTTGTCAAAATGTCATGTTGTCTCATTTTTTCAGAGAAGTTAATTAACCGAGTGACACATGGTGACATAGTGACACCTTCAGTTCTTCAAAAATAATTCATAAATGCCTTCCTCCTGTGTTGTTGTCAAAATGTCATTTGTCCTCATTTTTTTCAGAGAAGTTAAATAACCGAGTGACACATGGTGACATAGTTACACCTTCAGTTCTTCAAAAATAATTAATTATTGAATAACCTGAAACCATTAACGATAAAATAACTGATAACAAATTTTTATTTTTATCATAAATGGATACCCCACAAGCTCAAAATTTACCACGAATCATAACAAGGGAGGAAACGATAAAAATGATGCGAGAACTTGCTAAAAATAACAAACCACTAAAACTGAGAAAATGTGGTTATGCAGTAATGATGGAAAGAGAGACGTTGTCGAAGAGGAATAAAAATTAAATTTGGATTGAGTTTAAAAATTCATCTTTATTAAATTCATCTCTTCCAATCAATTTATTTATTCTATTAAATTCTTTTATTTTTGCTTCACCCAGTTTAAGGATTGAACGGTAAGTTTCTAATTTTTCGATTATTTCTTTCCTCTCTTCATCGTTTTCAATTACTTTAGTTTTATGGGCATCAACCCCACCGCATTGCGGCTTCTTTTTATAATAGCATATTTTTGATTTAATTCTGTTTAGTTTCTTTTTATATTCATCGTCTGGACTCTTGGATGCTTCGTTGTCACCCATTTCTTACGAAATAAAAAAATTAAATATTATTTAAATATAATGGAGTAATAAAATAAATCGGAATTTCTATTAATTTATTGTCAACTTCAACTAATGCATTGCCGTTAATATATCTAACAAATTCAGCTATTGTGTCAAATCTTCGTCTTCTTTTTGTCATTGATTTATCAGTTTTTCCATAATCGAGATGAATCAAAACTTTATCCCCTTGTTTAAAATTCATGAGCCCCGAATTAATTTGTTCACGTTTAACATCATTTAACCTTTCCATTTGCTTTCTAATATATTCCCATTCTTTTGAAATATCATTTTTCATTTCCACTGGTTTCATGTTTATAGTTCTATGCCATGTATTATTGTAATAATATACTAACTGTTGTATGATGGAGTCATGATTTCCATCCCAGTATATCTGACCGTTAACCCTAACGCATCTCTAAGAGTTTCTCATTACCGCATCAACTATTTTATTATGAAACGTATATGGAGAGGATGGAAAAGAAAAAA